ATTTGAGCACCTAAGTGTGAAGTTCAGCGTGAATGTTTGCTTAACCTTTCCAGGCCGTGGTGTCTGTTTTAAATTGTTGAAATTACTGGCAATCATTTAAATATTTCCAATGCTTAGTAGACTAGAATTAATACAGCATGTTTGTCTGGGCTTTATTCAGGTAGCCTGGGTGCACCCTGCTTCTATAATGGGACATTGTGTTCCTATGTGCAAAAATGTGGGATATAAATAGAAATAAATGCATAAGTAGTAACAAAAACACACCGGCTGTAATAGCATAGCAAAGCTAGCTCTTGTACTTGCAAGGCAATGAACCAGTTAAGAGTTTGGAAGGCTGTAGAATTCTTGTAGACCTAATTCTACATTTTCCTGGAAGCAACTGAGTCTAGTAAATACTGACCATTCATAGGATAGACAGAATGTCTATTAGGATCCTTAGAAGGAAGGGCTTAGACATACCTATTTCAGTTATGTCCATGTACGTTCTTTTAATTTTGTCCTTACTTGCTCATGAGAAAAAATTAAAGCACTGTAATTGGTGACCTGGTTGCAGGGAACTAAAACAGTAACATTCTACCCTTGACTTGTGCTGTCAAATCCTGAGAATAATTATGTGCAGGTATATGTCACTCAATGTATAGATTTTCAGCACACACAGAAATATTTCTGTCCATTTTTAGAAACAATGTGACCCATATACATATTGCACATCTATTACAAGTACAGGAAGTCTTTGATTTACAACAGTTCATTCAGTGACCATTTGAAGCATTGAAAAAAGTGGATTATAACCATTTTTCATGCTGATGACTGTTGCAGCATCCCCCATGGTCATGTGATCCAAATTCAAAAGCTTGGCAATTGTCTCATAATTATGATGGTTGCACTGTTCTGGGGTCATGTGATCACTTTTTCTCACCTTCTGACAAGCAACATCAATAGGGAATGTTGTTGATGCAACCTAAGGCTGCACTTGCTTTTTTGCCACTTGATTCATATTTAAGTGGTGGTCCACCAAGACTCCTAAATCACTCTCACAAGCACTACTGTTGAGCCAGGTACTGCCTGTTCTGTACCTGTGCCTTTGGTTTTTCCTACCTAAGTGCAGAACCACTGAATTGTATCTTGTTGGATAGGGTCCAATGCTTAAGTGTGTCAAGAGTCTTCTGAATCTTGAATCTTGAGTGTTAGCAGTTCCCCCCAGCTTGGTTTAATTTGCAAATTTGATGAGCGCCCCTTTGTTTCTCTTATCTAGGTCATTTATGAGAATGTTGAAAGATGTTTGGCCTAAGATAGAACCTTGAGGTTCTCCACGGCATGCTTCCCTCCATGTAGATGTAGTTCCATTGACAGCCAGATGCTGTCAATTTTGGTTTGTTCAGCCAACTGCAAATCCATCAGATGGTTGTCTATCCTACATTGTTCTATCTTATAAAGAAAAAGGCTTTGGTTTACTTTACCAAATGCCTTACTGAAGTCTAAATGTATTATATCACCAGCATTTCCTTGATCCACTAATTTAGTCACCTTATCAAGTGCTTTTTCAGGCTACTCTATGCCTTAATAATGCTGATAAATTAAACACAAATTTGTGGAGAGAGAAATTTACTCTGCATTTTTTCTTTTCCAAATGCTTTCTAATACTGCTGATACTGCACAAAAGATGAAAAGTAATAACTTATTGATACTTGAGGATTAAACACTAAAGAACTTCTTAAATAAAAACCTAAACATCACTTGTGAATGCTACTACTGCAACTAATCAGTTCCTGCCAAGAAGGAAACAAAACATCCCTGTTTTTAAAACACAAGGGAGAGGCCCAGTAATGGGTTTTCACTAACATTACACTATGAATGTGACACAATTGTATCAAACATCATAAATCTATTTATCTGCAGTATTTCCAGCTGTAATGATTTCTTCCATACCTTAAGAAAACTTTAACATTTATACACACAGAGTCCATTCATAAATACACACAGAGTCCATTCATAAATATCACTTCTGGGCAGGGGGTTGGACTAGAAGACCTCCAAGGTCCCTTCAAACTCTGTTATTCTATTATATGTATCCAATCTTTTTTCTTCCTTACTGAATAAACATGAACACAATCCATTAATTTTGATATCAATTAATAGCATTTGCCATAAAGCTGCAGCCAAATATAGATGCTTGAAAGCAGATTCCATTGAAGTTAGTGGTATTTAAAGTCCATTCATTAAAAATAGAGCTTTGCAATGGTTCTAGTTGATGATTCAGCAAATACAGCATCTTGCTTTCCCAGAGCAGCCAACCAGTTCTTCTGGGAAGCAAATTAAGAAGGTAAAACCTTGTCTTTGTTTCTCTCAACATGTGTTTTCAATCTGGAGACTGCCTTTGGTGGTAGCCATTGTTAGGATTCTCTTTGCTTACCCTACCCCATGGCATCCACACCTTATTGACTTTGTCCAACTTTCCCAATATGGGCCATAAATTAGGGAATGATGGTTTCATAGTCTGTTGTTATAGTATGTAGCATAAGGAAAGATGAGCCTTGACCCAGCAATTATAGCTTATATTATTACAATAGGTGATGGGTTCATCAATGGGCAACCAAGTTACATAACAAATATATTAGCTTAGTAAATATGTTTACGATTGTACTGTTTTGTAAAATACATTTTATGGATGTATGGAAGCATTTTATTTAGTTCTTTGAAAAACATCCTAATTCTTCAGGACTGAAAATGGTTTGCTCTTTTGCTGTTAGTGCACCTATACAAGTAACAGGAGATTTATGCTTCTTTTAAATTGATTTAGTTTTACAGTTATATATTGTGCTGGGTTCCAAATATTAATCTTCACTCTTGGAAATTCAATTTTTATTTTAAATTATGGCTAGCTTTTATTAAAAAACATTTTTAAAAGGATATATTTTAATGCCAGAAAGCAACTAGGATAATAATGTATCTGGGCCTTAAATAGGAGCTCTGGTAGCGCAGCAGACTAAAGCACTGTTATTAACATCAGCTGCCTGCAATTACTGCAAGTTCAAATCTCACCAGGCTCGAGGTTGACTCAGCCTTCCATCCTTTCTAAGGTAGGTAAAATGAAGACTCAGATTGTGGGAGCAATAAACTGACTTTGTATAAAATATACAAAAGTATGAAGGCTATTGCTTAACACATTGTAAGCCGCCCTGAGTCTTCGGAGAAGGGTGGCATATAAATCAAATCCCCCCCCCCAAAAAAATAGTCTATACAGAAAATTCTTAACCGTAAAATACTTGCAACTTTTAAGAGGTTAAAAGTTGGCAAGAAGGAAGCCAAATACAATTAATGCATTCAGTACAAAATGTTATCTATCATTTGTGGCTACTGCATCTAACACTTACCTAAAACCATTTTTAAATTTGTACTCTAGAAAATAAATGGGCTGTTCAGAGGGATTTAAAGAGTCTATGAAAGCATTAACAAATTCAAGAAAGGCCTGCTATAGAACCAAATCATTAATTTTCAATACACTGAATTGGTTTTAATAGTATTAATTGTGTTAATATCTGTTCGGCCATCAAAGAAAGAGGGAAAAATCATTTTATCTCTGGACAAGAAAATGCTTACCTTCATTTTAGGGTGTTGCACTGTGACAGAGAACCATGTACTGTATGTGTGCATGCTGTGAATGTGAGATTTAGTAAACATGTGTTAATGTAGCATAGATTATTTTATTGCATGCAAATATCAGGCGTTGCACAGCCCCACATAAAACACAGACCTTAATATGCTGATTTGTATCAGTTCAGTATCTTGGCCAAAAATGATCCCCTGATCCTGGCATGTAGCATAAATTACTACGATGAATAATAATTGCATGACCAAAGACTCTCCTGCTGACAAATCACTTCTGTCTCTTATTGTCTTCTAAATAATGATGATAAATGAAAAGTAAGGAGTGTTGAGTATCAAATAACATTGTTGAATCCATGATTTTAGTAAGTCATGAGTGCAGGATTACAGAAACCCTCTAGGACTCTTCAAATCTAACAACAGGTTTGTGTCCCACACTGTGTAGGTAAAGTCTTAAAGTGTGACTTGCTGTCTTGAGAAAAACAAATTTTTCCAAATTTACTTCGAATTTAGCCATTCCTCTGTATGAGAAATAAGAAAGTGATGTATTCTTGTTGTGTTCCCTTTTTCACTTTGTATTTTAGGGTTCTATTTTAATTCTATTCTGTTCATACTCCTTTCATTTTTTCCCTTTTTATTATTGTAAGCCATCTAGAGTAGCCCCACAGCAAGATAGGCAGCAAATAAATGTAACAAATAACTAATAATAATAATAATAATAATAATAATAATAATAATAATAATAATAGCAATAGCAATAGCATAGCATTTGGACTTTTATACCACTTTACAGTGCTTTACAGCCCTCTCTAAGAGGTTTACAGAGTCAGCATATTGCTTCAAACAATCTGGGTCCTCATTGTACCTATCTCAGAAGTATGGAAGGCTGAGTCAACCTTGAGCCTGGTGAGAGTTGAACTGCCAAATTGCAGGCAGCTGGCAGTCAGCAGAAATATCCTGCACTACTGCACTCTAACCACTGCACCACTATTAATGTTATTATAAACTTTTATTCATTAAACATGAAACTCAGTCAACTGAACATTTAATAATGTATCACAAATATCATTGACACTGGCTCTGATGGATGATACGGGTTGCTGCCAGCATCTTAGGTATCGACTAAATATCTTCTTAAAATGTATGTTGTTCCAAGTAGCACAGGCTTTTGCAGTTCTGCTGGTGTTATTGCAGGATTTCGTGATGTACTTTGTAAAATTCTTGGATGTGGTGCCAAGTGCCCTGATGACAATGAGTATCACTGTCACGTTTCATCCATAATTGCATATTTTTGATGGCCAGGTTGTGATATTTTGTAACTATGCAATTATTGTTGTTGTTGTTGTTGTTGTTATTAACAACAACACATTGCATATACATTTCCCTATCTGCAGATAAGCCTGATCCTCCAGCAGGAACTCCCTGTGCATCTGACATTCAGAGTTCTTCCCTCACCCTTTCATGGTATGGCTCCTCGTATGACGGTGGAAGTGCAGTGCAATCCTACAGTGTGGAAATATGGGACACAGTAGACAAGAAATGGACAGAACTCACCACTTGCCGCAGCACTTCATACAGTGTCAAAGATCTTCTAGCTGACCGGGAGTACAAATTCAGGGTGCGAGCTGCTAATGTGTATGGGATCAGCGAGCCAAGTCACGAATCTGAGCTAGTAAAAGTAGGAAAGAAAGAAGAAGGTAAGTCTACCACAAGGGATTATGCTTTGAAATATTTCTGAATCACAGGAATGCTAGTTGCTATAAGTGCATTCAGTTCATTTACACAAAATGAGGAAGTGAGAGTGGATTATGTGAACACACATGAAAGCCCTCTGGAAGAGCATCCCCCATATGTCTCCCACCCTACAATTGATTTGTAATTCTTTTGAAAACCTGACTTTGTTCCCAGCTTGGGGTTAGAATGGTTGTTAACTCTCTGTTTGGGTTTGGCTTTTTTGATGAAGTAGGGTTTCTTTTCAGAAGTATGAAGTTTTTTCCAGTAGTGAAATCCAAATTTTTTTACTACCGGTTCTGTGGGCGTGGCTTGGTGGGTGTGGTGTGGCTTGGTGGGCATAGTTTGGTGGGCGTGGCAGGGGAAGGATACTGCAAAACCTCCATTCCCACCTCATTCTGGGGCCAGCCAGAGGTGGTATTTGCCGGTTCTCCGAACTGCTCAAAATTTCCACTACCGGTTCTCCTGTCAGAACCTGCTGGATTTCACCCCTGGTTTTTTCCCTTTATTTTATTATTTCTTGCTTTTGAGATGTAAGCTGCCCAGAGTAATTTGGGAGTCGTGTAGCTTCTAAATCCAATAAAATTATAAAACGGAGGTTTTATCTATTTGTATCTCAATATGATCCATTTAGTTGCAAGATCCAAAGTTTTTGGTTTGATAATGAATACCGGTACTTGGAAATGAGTGTTATTGTCTTGGGAAAGATACATTTGCTTTAGTCGTATGAATTATAGTTCAATCTTTGTTGCTTTCTTTCTACTTTAAATTCAGCAAAGTAAAGGAGCTTTGCTGTTAGAGTGCAAAAATTCAGTTCATCACTTTCTTCCTGGTAATTCATCATTTAAACATTAGTCTGGCTATGAGTTATTAGATAGCTTAGTGCAAGTAAACCATACTTAAGTAGTAGGTTATATCGTTTTCCCTTTACTATTTGGTGAAGACAAACAGAGTTTTATGGAGCAGCTGGCCATAAGGCATTTTGTAATAGCAAACCACTCTTCTTTGCAACTTGAGTTCCCATTTCTAAAATGATGTTCTGAATTACTTTGCAGGTCTGTTATATGGTAACTGAAATAATAAGCATAAAGTATTTTAAGTTATTAAGGGAAAGGGGTATAGACATCTATCAAAAAGGACTGTTTTGTGATCTTGGGATGGAGGGAGACTTATGAATTGCAGTATAGTATTTTTAGATTATCATGACCAGGATGTGGTACAGACTGTGCCATTTCCTTATATGTACATCAACAATGAATTGACAGATAATAGCTGTTTTTGAGACCAAGGTATTGCAGTTTAGTTGAAAATGTAATTCTGTATATGAAGACTGGCTCTCCAAAACTGGAAAACAGATTATTTTTTAAAAGACTATTTATTTAGAAAACAATCTAGCACAGGGCAGAGGAGACAAATAATCACAAAATGTTTTGGCTTGTATGTTTATTATAAATTATACTCCTGCTTACTTAGTCAGTATATGATAAAGTTAGAATAAAACCATCAAACATTGGAGGAAAAAGCGTCATGTATTAAAAGGAGAAAGTTTCATTAAAATTAGTGACAAATGACACAACTTCTTAAACCCAAAAACATTTTACTGCCTAAAGTGAACAGAACAAGGAATATTTCCAGAGTTTATATTCCACTGCAGGTACCTAGCTTTTAGGTACCTTGGTGTCATTTGATTGGTTCATAGGATTACAGTAGCTCCTTTAATCCGTTACCTATGTAAGATTACATTGTAAATGTGCAGCAAAACAAAAATTAACAATGAAGAGGAAGGATCATTGAAAACATGAAGAAAAAACTTCTGATCTAACAGTCATTTCATTATGAAGTTCCTCACCAATTGCACATTGAAAACGTCAGTCCTGGGCCATAAAATGCTTTTGGCAAAAGAAACTTTTGGTGCAGGTTTCATCTTTTCCAAGAAATTTCAGTCATACCCAAATGCATTTACGATTGATACTGTATAACTTGCTGAATAAAGATAATACAACCCCCAAATAGTATCTTAGATTAATTTACCTGTTTTGGATAGCAATTTCTAAAAATCCCAATCAGCAAAGCCCCATTTGAAGGTTGAATATTAAAATCCAACATATCTGAAGAGTTCCAGAAATCCAGGTTTAAACACTTGAAATAACAAGTTGTTTTGTTTTTAAAGAAATTTTTTAAAAGGTACACCACACCATATATTTTTTTTACATTCATCCCATAAAGAATGGATCATGTGTTTCAGTGTCCGTTTTCCTTTTTAAGATACACTCTGTATGCCCTCTTTATAGATTTGAGTCCAAATAAAAGAGTTCATAGTATTATTTTAGAGTAAAACATTGCAGTAGTTTATATATTTGTAGGGTTTTTTCACTTTTTGATCACTCAGGATTTCACTAAGGGTATCTCACTGAAATTCTTTCTTACTATCAAGAGCCTTGATAGTACAGTGGTCTAAGCACCCTGTTATTAACACAGCTGCCTGCAATTACTGCTGGTTTGAATCTCTCCAAGGCTCAAGGTTGACTCAGCCTTCCATCCTTTCTAAGGTAGGTGAAATGAGGACCCAGTTTGTGGGGGCAATAAGCTGACTTTGTATAAATATACAAAAGTATGAAGGCTATTGCTTAACGCATTGTAAGCCGCCCTGAGTCTCTGGAGAAGGGCGGCATATAAATCAAATTAAAAAAAAAAAAAACTATATCATCACACTGTCAAGAATGTGTTCCCTTCAAGAAAGAAAGCAATGGAAAACAACTGTTTTAAAGAACGGTCCATATAGAGGAAAGATTCTTCTGTGCTGCAACTTCCCCCCTTTGTCAGTGGAAAAAAACATTCTGAACTTTTTAAGTTATAAAAGGAAATATAATAAATGTGATTATACTTTGTATGCAAGCCTGAGGCATGTGTTTAATCTGAATCCAGCTTTCTTTGGAGGCCATGCATTATAGCTCTGCTTCAGCACAACAATCGTAATAATGAAATAAAATAAATGTTCAGATAGAAGATACAAGTTTTATTTAGAATTTATTACATTAACATTTGAACATTGGGAAGATACTGATTGCATAGCATTTACTAGTTCCTGCATTCAAAAGTGAGAGTAAGACCCCAGGAACACTGCCAGCTATATGCAAATGGCATGAAGATTGATCACACCTGGCAATAAAAGAAGTTTTGGAGCAGTGGAGGGGCTTCAGGTGTCCTCTACATCAGGGGTCACCAACCTTTCGGAACTCAGGGACCACTAAATTGATAATTTTAAATCCCACAGACCACTAATATGATCTGCCTAATGACAGGCTGGGTGGGCGTGGCTAGGTGGGCATGTGACTGGGTGGGCATGATCAACTTGATGTCACTCACGTTGAGGGACACCTCACCAGCCTCTACTCGCCCCTCCCAGCCACACCTCGCCTGCTGGTCTGGGCTCCTTAGGACCCCAACAGGAAGCAGTTGTTGGAGCTAAGCAGCCATCATGAGAAAGAGTTGGCAAAACAGCTCAGTTCAAATTGGATCTGACTGAGAAGGAGGCTCAGTAGAAGCACCTCACTGAGGACTACAAGCATAGGCTTTCCAAGCAGAGGGAAGACCTGTGGGAGTGCAAGGCCAGGTATTAGCACCTGGAGGCTCAGTGAGATGGTCAGCCAATTCCAGGTCATGATGCTGTCCCACTGGAACAAGGCCCTCCGGCTCTTTGCCACTAGCAACACTTTCCTCCAGCCTTTGCCCAAAGGCTGTTTCAGCACTAGGAGGCTGAAACAGACCCCAAGTCGGAATTTCTGTCCCCCTCCGATCCACACAAAAAGACCTGAAGAGGGAGACTCTTTGCAGCAACACAAATGTTCATTGCATGTATCTGGCCCACGGGCCGTAGTTTGAGGACCCCTGATTTAGTGCAATATAAAAAATGCAAATAATTTTTCTGCGGACCACCAAAATTTTCTTGTAGACCACCAGTGGTCCATGGATCACCAGTTGATGACCGCTGCTCTACATGATAGTGACAATTTTATATTTATAACATTTAGTAAAATAAATACCAAGTATTCATTTATAAACCTCATAAAAGAATTTGGAAAGCTTGTTTTTGGTCTGTAGTTCCACAAGATACTGTCTTAAGCTAGATCAGATAATTACTGTCTGCTCTGACTATCCCAAACAGAATTTTTCTCTAACTGGTGACTGTTAACCTGAAACCCGCTGCATACAAATCAGACACTATTCTATCACTGTGCTGTAGCTCTTTCCCATAAATGGTATCTTAAGAGATATACTGTAAATAGCATGAGAGTTGCAATAACGAAGCTAAATTTTTAAAAACAAATACCATGTGCAAAAGTGCTTATAGAAAGTTAATCCAAAAGTTTTCTTCTAAAAAAAGTAAACAAATAATATGTTGTTAGTAAAACCACTATATTAATGTTTCTGCTTGGAGTGGAGGAATAATATGTGGAAAAGAATATATCTTGCATTAATATATATTTTTTTTATTTTGGTAAAACAACATATATTTATAAGATGAGGAAGAAGGAAAACTCAGTTTGGGAACCTATTTGCAAAGCATATATTGGGAGAAAGAAGATCAAGCTTACAAATCTGATGTGCCCAAATAAGAATTCAAATTATATTGCCAACAATAGCCAGGAGTTAAGTGTTGCCATTAAATGATCAAGAGCTAGAACTTTTCATTTCAGTATTTCCAGCATCTTGGCAACCATGAAAATGTTCATGAATTGATCATTGGGCAGATCACAGTTCAACAATATTGTGTACCTCCAAACTTTAGAAAGAGTTCAGTGTGCATAGGTGCCTTATTCCAGAAAGGAATCACAACAAGGCATATGAAATAAAGAACAGGGAAGTAGACAAGCTGGATCATGAGTCTTAAGAAGCATATATATACATATATGTGGTTTTTTTTTTTAGGCTCTAAAGAAGAAGAAGAAGCTGAAGGATCTGATGATGGTAAGATCTTGACTATTGCAAAATATGGGATTCATGGTAATAAGGGAATTTTTTATAATTAAATACTTTTGTACTAAATTGTAGAAGCGAAAGAAACAGAAATGGATTATCGGACAGTGTCTATCAATACAGAACAAAAAGTTTCAGAATTCTACCATGTTGAAGAAAGATTGGGATCGTAAGTATAACAATATGTTTCCCCCTTTTATTGAAAAAGTACATTGTCTCATTAAAAATCTATTGTCAATAGCTTTTTAAATGCATATTAAATGAGTCTCTAAGGTATATCTGATTTCTTATTCATACTCAAATAATTTTCTACCAAATGAGTTTATCATCTTAACATTTGCATTTATCAAATGCTGATAATTTTACGGTTAATTGGGAACAATAAAATTGGACTTCTTGATCTGTTTCAGTAATTAGCTTCTTAATCAGGCAGATTCTACAACCTTGCTGCCATAAATTTTGTTTCCATTTTGCCAAATGGACAATTTTTCAATACGATGTGAAAGATATAGGTATGGGTTATTTTATTTTATTGATACTATTTTTTAAAAAACTTAAGCTACAGTTTTGATGTAAGAAGGCATAGATTTCCCAGATGTCAACAAGAATTTTTTTTTAAATGTGTCTTCCTCATTTACCAATCAATTGGTTTAACTTTATGGAACTGTTCTGAAGCTAAATATAGAAAAGATCATTTTGGCAACTGCCAGTGACAGTTCAGCTTTTGGGGAAGCAGAGAATATACCCACTGGTTCACACTAATGACAGTGTGATTGCCACTTTTTACATAAACCTTTCACCTACCCAAACCTTTCACCTACCCTATGGACAACTCTTGCTATGCAGCATCAAATGGCACTCTCCTGCTGCACAGAGTATACTGGGTTGGCTACCTAGATGTAGGTTTCCTGAAAGAGACATATATTTATGGAGAAATGCACTCAATTATTACAAGCAATTGAGGTAACAATTCAATCCAGTTCTCCTGTTGATAAGGTGATAGCACCTCAAGTGTTGTTCTAATATTTGGTTCATTCTTCCCATCAACCCATTAAAGACTGGATGGGTTGAGGATGACAAATGATTCTTAAATGTCTACAGAAATAGATGGAAAAAACTCCCAAAACTTAGATATAAACTGAGAGCCACAATCTGAGATCACACAATTGATTAAATCGTGTACCTAAAAGCATGGTCTGTATCTAAAAACATGATCTAAAAAGCACTGTTTCCAGATCCAATAAATGGCCCTTGCAAGGAATAAAATAAGCCATCTTTTTAAATAAATCCACCACTACTGGAATGCTTGTGTAGCCTTGCACAGAGGGAAGATCAATAATGTATTCCTGATGTCAGAAGGGGGAAGACGCAGACTGGAACAAGCTGGTTGACTTTCCAGGAACAGATTTAGCCCAGTGACAAACATGACAAGATGAAACAGGTCCCTGACATTGGCTCTTTTTCTTAGTCTCAAGAACTCTCCAAGTACTCTGCAAACTTTTAAATACTTCCCTAAGACGAGTAATTCTACTGTCATAATAAAGTTACAATCTCTCTTCCCTTAAATTAAAGAGAATGTATAAACAGTTATTGTGAAAAACTGTTCATCATTCATAGAGAAAGGTAAAGATTTAGCGGGTCCAAATGGATTTCCTTGGTGGGCACCCATCCGCATTCTGACATGCATCTTATTGTTGAAGTCTAATCCATTTTATCAGATTTGCAACTCCATTCTTTCTGGAAGGTCAATTCTCTGTTGAAGGGCAAAGATGCTAGATTCCAAGATCATGCTAGAGAAGTTCACAAAGAAATTATTTAGGATTCCTCTCTTCTAGTTTACTCAGAATGTTCAATGATGCAAAGGACTTTTTCTCTTGTTTCTCCACATCTTTTGTAATCGAGAAATTTCCTACATATTCAAATTACATTTCAATCCTTTTATTACTGGATTAATTACTGTGTTGCTTAACAGAAAAGCCTTGCTTTGCACATTAAGGACTCCAAGTTCAATACTTGGTGTTCTAATTTTAAGATATCTGATATCAAGTATTGTAAGGGCGTGGAGAGCTGTTGCTAGTCACTGTAGAAAAAAAAAGTGCTATATAGGCAAGTACAAAAAAAAGAAATCAGAGTTGTTGTAGGGCAGTTTCCACATTCCGATAACTCTTGCCTTTTCATGTCTGTGCCTGTGAATCCAAGCATGCTGGTTCTGGCTAAGTACCTGTCAGCCAAGCATAAGAATCACATTAATCATCTTAAACCAGTGTTTCTCAACCTTGGAAGCTTGAAGATGGGTGGACTTCAACTCCCAGAATCCCCCAGCCAGCGCTGTCTTAAACCCTAGAATCTAGGTTATCCAGAAAGCATGTTTTCCTGTGTTATGTTATTTTCATTTCATTGGGGGGATTTTTTTCCATATTTTTCAGAGGGAAATTTGGACAGGTTTTCCGGCTTGTTGAGAAAAAATCTGGAAAAGTTTGGGCAGGAAAATTTTTTAAAGCGTATTCAGCTAAGGATAAAGAAAACATAAGACTAGAGATCAGCATAATGAACTGTCTGCACCATCCAAAACTTGTCCAGTTGGTAGATGCTTTTGAAGAGAAAGCTAACATTGTCATGGTATTGGAACTGTAAGTATAAAATTGGCTCTAGTAGGAATAATACCAGTGTCGATGTTTTTATAATCTTTATTTTCTTACCTAACAAGCCTGAACTTGTTTATTATTTTTTTAAATGACATATTTCCCCTTATGTTCTTCCTATGTCCCAAAGCAGAGTAATAGTAATAGTAAACTGCTGTATTACATTGGAACACTACAGTCACACACTCTCTGTCTTCTCAGCTTTGAGTGCAGTAATTGCTTTAAGTAACATCTTGCAATTCAGATTATTTCGTTCAGCTCTACAAAACACAAGAGTCCATTGTTTTTAAACAATTAAATATTATTTCCCTTTGAATATACCGATAAATGGTGATTGCTGTCCAATCCAAGGTGTTTTTACAACATAAGCACTTCCATGGTTTGCAGGCTTATGGGGGAATAAATTCACTGAACAAAATGAGGCAACTTCTGTGGAGGATGAATTGCATTAAATTGTATGTTCCGGTTTTATCTTTTATTTCAATCTAATATTTCCCAGAAGCAAAAAGAACGGCCGTGCAAATGAAAGCTCTTAAAATTGCATTTCAGGCTTGATTTATCCCATCATAATTTGAGGTCATCTGAGATTATATGAATCTAGCAAGTTTTTAATGCATCCCCCCCCTTTAATGTAAGAATTATGTTCTGGCTTTAGAAATTGGGGGACAGAAGAATGCTAATAATTCCATGCACATTCCAGCTGTACCAAGCCTGAAAATCCCCCGGTTTTATTTTGACTTTTAAAGCATTATGGTCTAAGTGATAATGACACAGTATCTTAAGAGTTCAGAAACCTGGAAAAATGTTTTTGCAGTCCTTTTGAACGAATAGTATCCTTCAGTTCCTTTGCATCCACTCCTTATTTAGTGACCGAACTCTGTTTTAACAATCATCATTGAGCAAAATAGTCATTAAGTGAAAGAGAGAGAGAGAGAGAGAGAGAGAGAGAGAGAGAGAGAGAGAGAGATGGATGCTGCAAAGATCATTGGTTATTACGGTCTCATTCAAATTAAGTTCTCATACAACTATGCCAGTGTTACTCTCATTCTAGAATGCATTTTTGTCAGGCGCATATTGATCAGATAATGATTTTTTTTATTGTTGCAATATTTGCAAATGTGTGCTAAATGAAGAAGTTGCTAAACAAAGAGTGGGCGTATTGTAATTGCAGGAATCATTCCACTAGATCTGTTATTAGTATTAGGCCATATTTGCCTTACTGGTTTAGTGATTCAAGACCATGGGAAATAAACAGCATGATTTTCATGAGCCAAAATTTCTAATGGTTGTTTTTAATTGAAGGATTTAATAGATCCCATTAAAGCAACCCTCTAACATCCTTCTGTATTGCACAGTTCTGTACCTGATCATTTTTCTTCAGAGTTTTAGTCTTCAGCCTTCTGGATTCAGTTTCAAGTCTCCCTAGTTAAACTTAATACTTAAGTCATACTTAAGTCAAATAGTATTGGTCTGGTACTTGTCATGTACCAACCATTTCATGCCTGTAATCATCATCCAAAAACACAGTCTGTGTTCCAAGAAACCAAAAATCTTCTGTTTATCTCTTGATTGGTTGTTTAAGGCTCTGTTATCTGGGTAGAGAGAATGGATGAGAATATCACTTGAGTACTATTGTTCTAAACCTCTTCAAATCTTCATAGTCCGTGATGTTATAATTATAACTACTGTTGGCAGCATCACTTGTCTGCATTTGGACTAGCAGAAAGGGATAACTATCAGTACTCTTTGAGATTTATCTGTCATATCCATGATCAGATACTTAAACTTAACCCTGTCATATCCATGATCAGATACTTAAACTTAACCCAAGGGTGAAATCCAGCAGGTTCTGACAGGTTCTAGAGAACCGGTAGCAGAAATTTTGAGTAGTTTGGAGAACTGGCAAATACCACCTCTGGCTGGCCCCAGAGTGGGGTGGGAATGGAGATTTTGCAATATCCTTCCCCTGGAGTGGGATGGGAATGGAGATTTTTCAGTATCCTTCCCCTGCCACACCCACTCAGCCACACCACACCCATCAAGCCACGCCCACAGAATCGGTAGTAAAAAAAATTGGATTTCATCACTGTTCTAACCGTTATAAGTTTGTTTTCTTGGAGAATCAGTCACCAATTATCTTGTTTCTTCACGGTCTTACAAAGCTGCATCTTCTGGGATCCACCTTCCTATCTCCTGTTTAGCAGTATGATTTTTTTTTCATCTTTGCAAACTCGGAACCTATTTCTATTGTGGGGATCTGAAAGCAGTTTCTAAATGCTTGCAATGCTGAGTATCTTCTTTAACCATTATCTGTAGTAGTCATTTTCATCTGCTTAATTTGCTGAAGCTTGTCTTAAGTATCATTGCTTTCTCTGCCATCCATTGTAGCACATCCTTTGTTTGATCGAATGAGTCTTCATCTTTTCTTATGATCTGAGTTTGTCCACTTATTACTCCAATCTTCATAGTTTTTCTTCAGATACCACTTGATGCAACTAAATTCTGAATTGTGTTCAGGCAGGAGCACAAATGCCACAAGTAGTTCAGAGTAGGACTCCAAAATGTCTTTGCTTCTGTTACCTAAAGCATAACCAATACAAAGTCTTACATTGCTGACTACCAAATTCCTTGTTCAATTGCTGTCAGCTTCTTTGAATATTTTATAAACAGAGAGGAGTGATAAATATTAAATAAATAATTTAGTGTAAACAGTACTTAGCTAGATTCATTAACAAAAAACAAAATTCATTTTGCAAAAGTGATTTGCAGATCCACCAGTTTTCACTGCTGCCGTTTTGTTTTAAATTCAACACCATATGTGGGAAAAATGTTTTTCCTGTCTCAATAGAAGTCTAACATCATTCCTTTTACTTAGAACCACTAAAATGACATTACTATATGTCTATAACTGATCCTATAGAATGAAACACACTTGGCAAGAATTATATCCCAGCAGTTCAGTGAATATGTTGGTTGTGCTGTTTCATTAAGATTCTTATCTGTAAGTGTATCAAATACTGAGTGATGTAGGCGTAATTTATATATTCAGATTATACATTTTTTGAGACTATTATTTAAAAATGAAGCTTTTTTATCAGCACCGATGAACAGTTTCTGAATTTTGGGAAAACTGTTTTCCTGTTGTGCTCTTGTTCCAGAATGTTAAAACTGTATTTATTTTTTAAAAAAATATGTGAAACATCAAATCAGTGAGGCTCAGCGTGTATGTGAATAGGTTTGCAATAAAGCATTTCCATTTAATAAAGCATATTTTCACCATTTGTACTCACATATAATCCATTTAATCATGATCCTTTTCTTAAGGTGGTTACATACAATACTAGTCCCAAAGTATACAATTTGCTCTACTGTTTTAATTCATTTTTAATGTGTTGTTTGTTGGTATCTTTTCTCTACAAGTTTTATCCAAGCATGTTCTTTTTTAAAAATGTATTTAAAATCATATTGGATAATATGAACAAAATGAAATCTAAACATTAGAAGTATGAATACCTGAAGAGACCACAGTAGTCTTTCACTATTGCAATGTGTTCTAATATCTAAGGGTCTACCAGAAAGAAGAGAAAACCAACCTATTCTCCAAAGCACCTTAAGTCAAGACAAGAAGCAGTGGATGGAAACTAATCAAGGAGAAAACCAACCTAGAACCTAGAAATTTTCTGACAGTTAGAATAAATTAATCAATGGAACAACCTGCCTCCAAAGTTGTGGGTGCTCCAATACTGGAGATTTTAAAGAAGAGATTAGACAGCATTTGTCTGAAATGGTATAGGGTTTCTTGCCTGAGGAGGGGATTGGACTAGAAGACCTCCAAAGTCACTTCCAACTCTATTATTCTTCAAAATAGAAAGTGTCACTTTGTCTTGCATTGACAGAGGTTGAGATGTTCAAAGGGTTGAATGTTGGGACAAAGGAATGTTTGTGCATACATACATTACATTGTTCCTATGCCCCATCCCATCTTAGTCCTCCAGAATAATCAGAGTTAGGTGATCTGACTTTCCTTCATGTAAAGAATGTGTTTTCCATGCAGTCTGTTTTCTCTTTGTTAGTGTTTCTGGAGGAGAGCTCTTTGAAAGAATAATTGATGAGGACTTTGAACTGACAGAGAGGGAATGCATTAAATACATGAAACAGATCTCAGAAGGTGTACAATTCATTCATAAACAAGGCATTGTTCATCTGGACTTGAAACCTGAAAATATTATGTGTGTCAACAAAATCGGTACAAGAATCAAGCTGATTGATTTTGGACTTGCACGAAGATTAGGTAAAGTCTCTAAGTTATCTTAAAAACTGTCAGGCACAATGTATTTTTATAATGCATAGTAATTGTAACCTCTTTTGGTTCTTGGAACCACTATTTAATTGAAAATTGGCTTGTCCCATTTTTTGTATGACTTAATTAGCATTATAGCTTGCCATTACAGTGGATCCTTCAGATGAATGCAATTTCTTCTATAATTAGTCAGAAGATGATTACATCATAAATTCTTGAGCTTGAGAGAAGTCAATGGATAGGCTTTGACTGATTCCCCAAACAATAATGCTTGATGTGTAGATTTCAAAGGCTGAAATAAATATCTGTGGCAAATAATCATAATTTTAAGCAGAATCAGGGAAGCAGAATTTATGATCCCAGTTAGAACTGAATTTATTAATAGTCCCTAAACTACTTTTTGATTATAAGGTAATTACTTGTTAATTTCATCCTTTTGAATTTTTGTGTGCTCAACTCAAAACCTTGTGCCAACCTGAGTTTCAACAAAAACATGAAATAGGCTTTTAGAAAGGTATAAAATCAGAGATTAGTAAAGAAATAAGATGGAACATACTGTGGTAAAGAATTAATATGTGTGAAATTAATTGGGGATAGATTAGAATCTCAATCAATGCAGTTCTTTGCTGTTTCCTATAGAAATTGTCTCACTATATTTATTATCTCCCAAAATTTTCTGGAGATATAGCACTGGCAGATAGTTTCTCACTCACGTTGATTCTTCATTGAATGCAGATTACTTTTCTCCTACTCCAAGACAAGTGCTATCATCTGGCCTTTCCCAGTTTGGGGTGGATAGGTTGATGTCAACTCTGTAGGCCCAGATATGTTGGGCTTGTAATTCCTAGAATTCTCATTCCGCCTAGTACTAATTTGATAAAGCTTCTAGAACTCCCGTTTGTCCTTTTTTCTATTATCCTGATCACAGAATTGGGCTTACTGTAGCTTGTTAGAAAATGCTGAATCAAATAATTTCAGACATTTTTTCAGTCTGCTCCTCTGGATGATAACGAAGAGAGGATTTTGAACTTTTTCTCATTAACCATCAAACTTTATTTAAAGCCATTAGAAAACTAATGCAGCTAACTTCTCAGTTTCCACAATCCAGTTCAGTAACCTCAAATATAATCAAGGAACAAAATTTATGATTCCACTGAATATACATTATAAACAGCTCCAGGACAAATTTTTGATCAGAAAGTAAATTATCTTTTAATTTCATCTTTTTGAACCTAGCATTTTGGCTCTCCCCAGCTAGTTACTTCACAAGATTAAGTGCCCACCCAGTAATAGGTTGTATTTAACATATTTAGAAATTCAGTATTTTGAAATAAGAATCTTGTGACTAATTGTAGATCATTACTGAATGATGGAGGTATTTCCAGTATTTTTTTTATTTCTATTTCCATTTCCATATCCAGCCTACATGGCCCATACCAGTGACAATGGGACTTGTACAACATCTGAAGATCTGTAGCTTTTTTATTTGTAACATATACACATTCATTATAGTATATTGGTGAGTGGATAGATATATTTATACATACATACTCATCATGCTGTGCAGGAATAGTACATATAATGAATTAGAAGCATTTTGTATAGGGGAGGGGAGGGCAGGCAGGGAAAGAGGGAAGGAATCTTTACTTGACTTTCCAGTTTCCATATAAAGCTGTTCAGCAGTAGAGGATTAATGTTATAAATTTGGATAGTCAGCCAAGGTTCACGTTCCTAATTGCCCTTGAATTCTACCTAGACTGCCTTAAAATTATTTTTCTATGTTAATTCTGAAACTTGGGGAGAATTTGCTTAACTTCAGAGAGCAACTTCAGAGACACTATATGGAACAGACAACATTTTAACCTTCTCTGTTACCTTAGAAAATGCAGGTTCTCTGAAGGTCCTCTTCGGAACACCAGAATTTGTGGCTCCAGAAGTTATAAATTATGAACCTATTGGCTATGCTACTGATATGTGGAGCATAGGAGTCATTTGCTACATCTTGTAAGTAATTAATTGATTCAGACATTTAAAATATCTCATTCTCTTTGCTTACATTCTAGATCCATACTTTCTGAAAACATATCAATCTAAACATATCCATATAGCAGAACTGTTTTATTTGAGATTATTTCCTCTTAAATGTACATTCATGCTCTTTAAACACAAAAACTTCCCAGAATATGAGAACTTAATTAGATCACAGTTTTGTAAGTACATTAATGTCCTTTTAAGACTTAGGGAAGGATATATTTGTTATCCTAGTCATAATACGTAGATTATTCCAGTTAATTGAATTTCACAGTTGCCTAAAACTACTTTTAAACTGAATCTGAATCCTGTTGACTTCAAGGATACGAAAGTACAATTTCATTTAACCACTGTGAGATTACTGAGAAATAATACAATAGACAATAGAAATAATTAACTTTCCATACACAAAATAATTTTGTTCATTCAAAATTATATTTTGAATGAACAAAATATATTCATATTTTGGTATATGAGAATGTCTCTTTGCTGATTCACAATTTCATATTTAAAAATTTAATTCTTCCTTTAGAGTTTTCCTTTTGTTACATCATTATCTGCAAAGCAGTTCCTTAAACTGAATGTATGAGAACATGGGGGTATGAAATTTATATTTTGCTATTAAATCACAGAAGGATATCAGCTATTGTTCATTAATGCATTTATTAAAGAGCCAGTTTGACTTAATGATGAAGGTTCTGGCCTAGAAACCAGGAGACTGTGAGTCTTAGGCCTCCCTTAGGCTTGAAAGCCAACCAACTTTGGCCCAGTGTCTTTCTTTCTCTCTCCCCCCACCCCCACAACAACTTCACAGACTTGTTGTAGGGAAAATAGAAGGAGGAAAGAGTATTCAGTATGAGATGGATGGATGGATGGATGGATGGATGGATGGATGGATAGATAGATAGATAGATAGATAGATAGATAGATAGATAGATAGATTAGATTTTTACACTAATGTTTTATTGGTATTATTGGTATATTATTTTGTTTTCTCATATTTCTATATGTTGAAGTATATATTTATAGTTCATAGCACGTTTTATCATTTTTCCAATAAATGAAATGCTTCCATTTACTTGTTTCTGGACTCTGTTAATTTTAAACTATTTTTCTGCTTTTGGCTTTCATTTGTTTCACACTCTCCTCAAGTTTATTTTAGCACTTAATAGGCATTAATGTGCTGTTGGAGTCATAAATAATTCTTGTAGAAAAGTATTTAGCAAATACTTCGTTCCAACTTTACTCTTCAAATGTGCTTTCCAATACTTTTTATACCTATATATAATTATTTTTTTCTGGTTCGTTCATAATTACCTGTGGTTTAGAATTTTTTTTACTTTCTCTGAATGTTTCCATTAGGTGTCATTTTGTTGTCTTGCAGATTACTAAATTTTGGCTGCACTAATATAGATGTCCATTAGATGGCAGTATACAGTACAGAAACATCTGTTTCTGCCAGCTAGTGGTTGAATGGATTTTTGCAGCCCAGATCAAAATCTTACAATTACATGATTTTCTGAGACTCAGGACAAGATTAATAATCTTCTTTCATCAATTCTTCTTTTAGAGCTACCGTGTTTCCCCGAAAATAAGACATGTCCTGATAATAAGCCCAATTGGGCTTTCAAGCGCATGTGCTATAATAAGCCCCCCGAAATTAAGGCCCCCCCCAAAAAACTTATACGCATGTGCAGCTGCCGTGCAAACAGCACGAGGTGAGGAGGCGAGGCAAGGCGGGGGGGGTGAACAGTGGGGGAACATGCCCCACGTGCACTTGCATCCACCCAGAAAGGCCTCGCGTAGGCCACTCTTGCAAACCGTAGCTTGGGCGTCCCTTCTCTTAGTGGCAGCTGCAAAAGGCAGCTGCAAACAAACTCTTGCCAGCCCCTAGCCCTGTCAACCTGGGGGGAGGGGTACTGGCGCCGAAGCTCCAAGCAGTGGCCGGTGTGGGCTGTCTGTGCAGCCATGAAGCGGGATCAGCATGGGTGGTTCTTGCCCGCAGCATTGCTAGTGAGGATCAGGTCAGAGCTGCTGCCGCCAAAGATCAGCAGACCAGATTCGATGAGCCAGACACTCACTCTCTCCTCCCGAGTGGCAACGGTGCTGAGATCCTTCTCATACAACTGTGTGGACTCTGCAGAGTATCAAGCTGAAAGTCCAGGAATATGCCCATTGCTTAGGTCTTGAGTTTCTCCGTAAGCCATCGTGGAGGAGCTGAGTAGTCAGTCTCAGATAGTATAAATGAGAATAAGGGTTAATAGGGAGGCTACCTTGATTTCATTCTAGCATTACTGAAAGACGCACACATCATTTTGTAATTGCCCAGTAAAAGTAGAATTGTCAGAGACTTTTAAGGTATGCCTGAATTTATGCACCCCATACCAAGAAGATGCTGATTCTAAGTAGCTGAAGAAACGTTTCCAATAAATAGCTCAACATTAGCTCTAAGTAGCTGAATACCTTCATCTCCAAAGTACTTTTTCTTTAAAGGTTGCTGTTCATTTTCATTTTGACAATGACACAGCAGAAAGGAAATAGTTTCCATAAACAAATACTGCTCTGTTTTGCTATTAGATACTGTTTCACTATTGAATAAAATAGAGATCACAGATCAAGGTTACAGAGATCTGTGGAAAAAATGAAGACACTCCATGAAGCATGCCAGCAAATTCCATTCCTGAACTCTCTATTCCTTCCCAAAATAGTTAAGGAATACTGTTTTTCTTACCATTAGTTTCAAGGAAATTAATTGAAAAGTTCATGATAGATAGATAGATAGATAGATAGATAGATAGATAGATAGATAGATAGATTTTTACACTAATGTTTTATTGGTATTATTGGTATATTATTTTGTTTTCTCATATTTCTATATGTTGAAGTATATATTTATAGTTCATAGCACGTTTTATCATTTTTCCAATAAATGAAATGCTTCCATTTACTTGTTTCTGGACTCTGTTAATTTTAAACTATTTTTCTGCTTTTGGCTTTCATTTGTTTCACACTCTCCTCAAGTTTATTTTAGCACTTAATAGGCATTAATGTGCTGTTGGAGTCATAAATAATTCTTGTAGAAAAGTATTTAGCAAATACTTCGTTCCAACTTTACTCTTCAAATGTGCTTTCCAATACTTTTTATACCTATATATAATTATTTTTTTCTGGTTCGTTCATAATTACCTGTGGTTTAGAATTTTTTTTACTTTCTCTGAATGTTTCCATTAGGTGTCATTTTGTTGTCTTGCAGATTACTAAATTTTGGCTGCACTAATATAGATGTCCATTAGATGGCAGTATACAGTACAGAAACATCTGTTTCTGCCAGCTAGTGGTTGAATGGATTTTTGCAGCCCAGATCAAAATCTTACAATTACATGATTTTCTGAGACTCAGGACAAGATTAATAATCTTCTTTCATCAATTCTTCTTTTAGAGCTACCGTGTTTCCCCGAAAATAAGACATGTCCTGATAATAAGCCCAATTGGGCTTTCAAGCGCATGTGCTATAATAAGCCCCCCGAAATTAAGGCCCCCCCCAAAAAACTTATACGCATGTGCAGCTGCCGTGCAAACAGCACGAGGTGAGGAGGCGAGGCAAGGCGGGGGGGGTGAACAGTGGGGGAACATGCCCCACGTGCACTTGCATCCACCCAGAAAGGCCTCGCGTAGGCCACTCTTGCAAACCGTAGCTTGGGCGTCCCTTCTCTTAGTGGCAGCTGCAAAAGGCAGCTGCAAACAAACTCTTGCCAGCCCCTAGCCCTGTCAACCTGGGGGGAGGGGTACTGGCGCCGAAGCTCCAAGCAGTGGCCGGTGTGGGCTGTCTGTGCAGCCATGAAGCGGGATCAGCATGGGTGGTTCTTGCCCGCAGCATTGCTAGTGAGGATCAGGTCAGAGCTGCTGCCGCCAAAGATCAGCAGACCAGATTCGATGAGCCAGACACTCACTCTCTCCTCCCGAGTGGCAACGGTGCTGAGATCCTTCTCATACAACTGTGTGGACTCTGCAGAGTATCAAGCTGAAAGTCCAGGAATATGCCCATTGCTTAGGTCTTGAGTTTCTCCGTAAGCCATCGTGGAGGAGCTGAGTAGTCAGTCTCAGATAGTATAAATGAGAATAAGGGTTAATAGGGAGGCTACCTTGATTTCATTCTAGCATTACTGAAAGACGCACACATCATTTTGTAATTGCCCAGTAAAAGTAGAATTGTCAGAGACTTTTAAGGTATGCCTGAATTTATGCACCCCATACCAAGAAGATGCTGATTCTAAGTAGCTGAAGAAACGTTTCCAATAAATAGCTCAACATTAGCTCTAAGTAGCTGAATACCTTCATCTCCAAAGTACTTTTTCTTTAAAGGTTGCTGTTCATTTTCATTTTGACAATGACACAGCAGAAAGGAAATAGTTTCCATAAACAAATACTGCTCTGTTTTGCTATTAGATACTGTTTCACTATTGAATAAAATAGAGATCACAGATCAAGGTTACAGAGATCTGTGGAAAAAATGAAGACACTCCATGAAGCATGCCAGCAAATTCCATTCCTGAACTCTCTATTCCTTCCCAAAATAGTTAAGGAATACTGTTTTTCTTACCATTAGTTTCAAGGAAATTAATTGAAAAGTTCATTCTTTGTATCTTATTCTATGGTCTTGCAGATCCAGAGTGAACTGATGAGACCTTCTTTGACTCATATTCTGAAATGATGTTTAGCAGTTATTATATCATGTTTTCCAGCTTTTCTATCTTGAAATGACTCAAAACAGCTTAGGTAAAATGCATTAATAAGCTAATATAGCAGTGAACTCAGTTAAAATGAAGTGAGCTTAGCAACTTGGAGATCCAAAAGTCTTCTCAGTGTCAAAGATAAATCAATTAAGGAGAGAGAGGATGAGAAATTTTACATTTTTTTTTTACAGAAAATACCTTTTCCAATGATTTTTTGATCAATTGTGTTTCTGATGTTGGAGAAGACAGTTCATTGCTATATAATTCATCTACAGTGCCAGCCTTAATAGTTTCAATAGGTTTCCTGAAGCACAATAGTGAAAGCTACAGTACTTTTTGTTTAATAGCTTGTGTTAACTGTATACTGTAGAACTGAAATTGGGGTTTATTTTTTTCAAACTATGAAAGTTCTTTCACCAATAATTTGATGAATTAAGTTTGCATTGCATATTAGTTAACAGTAGCACAACTACTATTTTGCAAATGAAACAAACTTAAGTATTGTATAGACATTGTTCGGTCAAGGGTTGTTTTTAATGGCATGCATTTATTCTATTTTCCAGATAGATTATTTTGCATTTGGATCAGAAGCTCCCTTCCACAAATATACTGCATTTCCTTTAAAACAAAACAAAACAAAAATCACTGATTTTCTTTTTAAAAGACCTCTAGCTTACTGGCTCCCTCTAATGACTAAATAATGAACTGTTTATTTTGTTTACTGCTTCTGTGCATTTCAAAAACAAATCCACCTTATTTTTTCCTTGGTTTAGAGTATTGAGATCTTACTGAGAATGAGATCAGTTCTGCTTCTAGTATAGTAAATATACTAGAGGTTGTTCAACTCTTTTGAGAACTTATTTCTAAAGTGGTGCCTTCTTATGTAGGCACCACTTGTTAATTGTTAAATGTACATATTTGCAAACCATTTGTTGTTGTTAGTTGTGAAGTTGTGTCCGACCCATCGCAACCCCATGGACAACATTCCTCCAGGCCTTCCTGTCCTCTACCATTCTCTGGAATCTATTTAAGCTCACGCCTTCTGCTTCAGTGACTCCATCCAGCCATCTCGTTCTCTGTCGTCCCATTCTTCTTTTGCCCTCAATCACCATGCATGCTATTAAAAATAATTTATTCCTTTCCTTCAGAAGATATCAACACTCTCAAGTAAATGTTACCATTCACTGTTTTCATCCTAAATTTCAGGGTAAGTGGACTTTCCCCTTTCATGGGTGATAATGACAATGAAACTTTAGCTAATGTTACCTCAGCCACTTGGGATTTTGATGACGAAGCTTTTGATGAGATATCAGATGATGCTAAAGACTTCATAAACAACCTTCTAAAGAAAGATATGAGGTAAGGATACATTACATTCGTACAATGTTTACATACTACTCTAAATATGAATGCATAATGTCCATCCTCCTGGAGAAACTTCTTACGCTGTTTTTCCCAAGCATAATTGCATAAGAAGTATCCTTATTGTGGTACTTCTGAATTAATTTAATGTGCATGATGAATTTAGACCCATGCTTATATTCACTTTGCCTTTCTGGAACTGATCTAATAATCCAAATCTATGGCTTATAAACCTTAATAAATATATACAATTAATAAATTTAACTCCCCCCTATAAATTTGTAGTAACTTTTAAGGTATGAATATTTTTAACATTTCTTATTCTCGAAGTAACAGTAACAGAGTTGGAAGGGACCTTGGCGGTCATTGCTTTCCAGATGTATTGGCATTCAACTTGGCTAATGGTGCCAAGTTGTATGGGAATTGCAAAGGAGCAGGTCAAGGAAAGAGTTAAGTTCAAGTAGTTTTAGATTACTCCTTTAAATAGTTGCTAGCTTCATAATCCTTACATCCGAACACTGACACCCACATCCAGTTTGTAAATCAAGGCAAGTGGATCTACAAAAAAAATTTCTTAGGGGTTTCAGGTTTGCTCAAATTACTAATTTATTGGCATTTTTCCACACAAGCAGTGCAGCCATGAGTAGTACCTCTTTAGAGCAACTAAACTTTTTTTTTCCCTACTGAGAGCAATCATAGTAATATGCAGATAGATGCATTCCCACAAAAATGCTTAACTCAATGTATAGTGTAATTACGTTACTCTTAATATAACTACATACAAAATGTAGTTTAATATATTTAATTTAGATGCCTGTCCTAGGCAAGGAGTTGAACAAGAAGGCCTCCAAGGACTTTGGCAATCTTCTGATTCTATGAAATGTGATATTCTATGTGCACTTTGCATTGATTATTTAAATTTTTTTAAAAAAAACTTCAAACCTCTAGGGACAATTGTATGCATGTTTGAAACTCGCACTTTCCCCCCATGCTGTTGTTATTGATTTGTGGAGATTACAAAATAGCTTCAAAATAAATGCCACTTTAATTTTGGCAGCATAATCCAGAGAATCTGTGTGGCCTACAAAAACAATTCTGGAAGCTCATACAGATGCTAAATGTTGCATTTCCCACCCATGATTTAGGAATTAAAAATATGATGTAATCTATAACATACGTTTTTTTTTTCAAAATGAATAATAAATATTTTTCTTATTACGTGATTTCTCTGCTTCTGCACAGCAGTTATAAGAAAACTTAGTGACAAATAATATGTTAATAGGTAACAAATGTAGACTGTTTCCAAGAAAAATATGGTATAGTTGCCATTTTTTATTGCTCCAAAGATATCAAAAAGTAATGAAATACATCTGAATAAGAAATATGAAACACAACAATGAAATATTCAAATACTTTACAGCGGGGGTTTTTAAGAATTAAATTTAGATGTTTTTTATCATAATATTCCAAAGACATAAATCTCTTATCACTCTGTGAATTAAAATTTATTTACTTATTAACATGTTGTTATTATCACTGGAACTCATCTCATGGCTTATTTAAGGTAGTTCTCTGACCTGCCATGAGTTAGCTGCCTTGTGCCATCTGGAAGTGTATGGTAAAAGTCAGCATTTATAAGGAATGTTGGAGGCCCTTATGGCTCTGAGTGGCCATATTCCAATTTAAAAAGATTGTCCCACAAGAAAGCAAACAGCTTTCTAGTCTTACTAATATAATGCTGGAAATAAAACATCTGAGACATTGGGAATTGTTTTAATCTTACACTTCAAAAGGATAGTTAATTATTAAAAACTTAATTAAAATATAAAGTAAACCTATGAAAGATTAAACCAAAAAAATTGAACCCAAAATATATTGTATCCATTTCTTCCACTTTTTATGTATTCATGAATTCCCATGTCCAATATTCAAGTATATCATACCAGATTGCAACTGAATAAAACTGTACAGTAGTCTAATGAGCCATACTATTAAATATAGAGCTAAATAAAATCTAAGTTTTGTTTATGTAAGTATAATAGTTATTATCTCTATTGCTCATAGGGACCGCTTGAATTGTACTCAGTGCTTACAGCATCCATGGCTGCAAAAAGACACCAAACACATGGAAGCCAAAAAACTCTCCAAAGATAGGATGAAAAAATACATGGCTAGAAGAAAATGGCAGGTAACATATGTTTCTGGACATTCTCAGTCATCCAGGTCATGATTGTCCCATGAGTGTACAAAGAATTTGTTTCATATGTTCTTTTTTTTTTTTTTTTTTAATAAAAAAGTTTTTATTTTCTAATCAGACAAGTATACAATATAAACAGTCATTCAAACTATTATCAAGAAAAAGAAAAAAAAATCAATCCTTGGTAATCTCAATCTTCAACCCCTCCTCACCACCCCCCCACCCCCGACTTCCCAGAACAGAAAACAGGGCATAGATTTCACCAAACATTCGCTAAAATAAACTAACTAACTACAAGATTTAATAACTCCCAAGACCCCTTAACTCCCCTTTTACAATTTCATCAACCTCCCTTTTTATAAACTCATAATAGCGTATAATCCAATAACTCTAAGAGTTTTAAAACCATTAACAAATATTAAACATTCAAACCTTGAAAATTCTCTTAATATATCAGTAAAGTATTCAATTGATTTACAAAAACATTTTTCATATGTTCTTGATCACTATGTTTACCTGCCCCAAAGGTGCTTTTTCCAAAAGCCAACCAGTCTTTCTTCATTTTTCCTTGAAGATGTTTTGCTTCTCATCCAAGAAACTTTTTCAGTTCAGAACTGAAGCAAAATGGCTTTAAGAAAAAACAAAGAAAGTCCAGTTGCCTTTCGAAAAAGCACCTTTGGGGCAGGTAAACATAGTGATCAAGAACATATGAAACAAATTCTTTGTACATTCTATCTTCAAAGTGCATGAATTTGGAAGATATATGAAAATAAAAGGCTCTTTGTTTAAGAAAACAATGCATCTTTTGCAGGAAACTTATTATAGGTACCATATTTTTTCGGAGTATAAGACGCACCGGAGTATAAGACACACTTTAGTTTTTGGGGAGGAAAATAAGAAAAATGCTGATTGGTGGGTGGATCAGCCTCCCGGAATACCCCCAATCAGCTGTTCCCTGAGGTGAATTTTAGCAACAGGTTCATTGGTTGTGAGCTTTGTGCCTTGCTTTTTTTTCAGCCTCTGAAACAGAGCTTCAGAAAAAAAGCCTCTGAAACCGCATACTCCGGTGTGTCTTATACTTCGTTTCAGAGGCTTTTTTTCTGAAGCTTCTTTCAGAGGCTTTTTTCTGAAGCTCTGTTTGGAGGCTTTTTTCCTGAGGCTTTTTTTCTGAAGCTTCTTTCAGAGGCTTTTTTCAGCCTCTGAAATCTTTTGTTTGAGAGGCTGGGTGGGCTACATTTGGAGTATAAGACGCACCCAGATTTTTACCCTCTTTTTTGGGGGGGGAAGGTGTGTCTTATATTCCGAAAAATATGGTAGTTCTCGACTTACAACAGTTCCTTTAGTCACTATTTGAAGTTACAGTGGCGCTGAAAAAAGTGATTTATGGCTATTTTTCACACTTATGACTGTTGCAGCATCCCCATGGCCATGTGATTTACATTCTGATGCATGGGAACTGACTTATATTTATGACGGTTGCAGTATCCAGGGGTCATGTGATCCCCTTTTGCAACCTTCTGACAAAGTCAGTGGGGAAGCCAGATTCACTTAACAACTGTGTTACTAAGTTAACAACTGCAGGGATTCACTTAACAAATGTGGCAAGAAAAATAGTAATATAGTAATAAAACTCTCTCAAATTTCTCACTTAGCAACATAAATTTTGGGCTCAATTGTGGTTTTAAGTTGAGGACTACCTGTACAGGATAAAGGAGGGACATCTTAAATGGCCTTATTCCAATCCCTGTCCTTAAAGTAAATATGTGTAATTTATATTCTCTCCTATTGGTACATGTACATTTTCTTATAAGCGCTGCAAAGGTACAAATTTGATCAAAGCCAACATGATCATTAATGTACCTTTGCAATGCTTATAAGAAAATTCTCCTGAGATAATTACGGATGTATTCAGGGGGATTTTTATTTGTTATTTTAAACAAATTAATAACATTTTTCAGTATTTTATTATGGCTGTAGCAAAGGGAAAAGAGAGGCATAGTGATTACACCATTTTGAAATGTGGCTGGTAACTTTTTCTTTCATTTGGGCAGGTACTCAATATTGATTTACCCTTTTTGATTTCCATTCCTTCCTCTGTTCCTGTGAGAGGGGAAATTCCCAAAAATCCAGCTGCTTCACAGATTTCCTTGCCAGCCTGTAATGCAAGTTGCCCAAAAGTTCTGTGGTTGAAATCTTTACTAGATACCTGTTACCCTCCATTCGCTGGGTCAACTTTTATGGGACCCCCATCTCTAGACTTTGCTCTCAGTGCACTAAATAGAACCATTGTATTTTTCTCTATCTTTTGCCTTTTATTTTACAAATATGTCAAAAATAACATATGGTAAGTAGGAATTCATCAGCATTTCTTGGTTATGTTACAGAAAACAGGGAATGCTGTTCGTGCCATAGGAAGGCTGTCTTCTATGGCAATGATTTCTGGCCTGAGTGGACGGAAGTCCTCTTCAAGTTCACCAACCAGTCCTGTTAATACAGAGATTGAAGTTGGAGGTATGGAAATTCTGATATGAAGTGGAGGTATAGTGGTATACCATAGTCTTTCCAACTTTGAGCACAATGGCAGAAGATTATGAAAACTGAAGTCCAAAGCATCTAAAGGCCATAAGGTTGAAGAAGACTGATTCTGTTAGTTCCAAAACTATGATCTGTCCCCGTACCCACACACACACACACAGCCAGTCGAGGGTTAAGGAAACACTTTGGAACACACCCAGTTCTTATCTCCCACTTGGCAGCGATAGACACACCGTCTGCCAAGTGACTTTATTTTCAAAGTAAAACAGAAAGACAAATACTCAAGAGTCCAAATGTCCGACACTTTAAATCTTTCTCTCAGCAGCTCCGGACGAGGCTTTAGTGACTATCCAAGGTTTGCTTTGTTCGTCACAAAAATTCTTGACCACCACCCTCTATTATATAGTCTCTGGGGTGTGGTCCAGTGACTCAGTTCTAATCCCTAGCACACCTCCTAAGCTGCTGCAAATGTTTATCACGCCTTCGGAGGCGTGCGTCCAGGAATGATGTTTCTTTATCACTCTGATCCGAATCAGCTGTCTCCTCTCCCTCGGCCGGCACTTGAGACAATGCCAGAGGGGAGGGGCCTGGAGAGGGAGGCCTGGCTGACTCCTCTTCCTCATGCTCGGAGCTTTCTTCCTCCGATGGGACAGGCTCAGAGGGCGGGGCCACAACAAACTACAATATTCATTCATGTATCATAGAAAATCTTGTGGTGTCTTTCTTTCTATCATTACTGGTATTTTCTTAATTTGGACATATGGTTAATCACTATTTTGCAGAGATCTATAATCTTTTGTGGCTCAGGCTAAAAAGCCAGTCTGCATTTAACTAAGCACACTTGGGTCCGTTTCTGCATATTGATTATTCATTCAGCAGTAAAATATTGGACAGAGCTTGCCATGTAAATCATCTGAGCAGTAGAATTACCATGCCATATTTCTGGAAGCATATTTTACTACCATTTCAACTTTCAGTTGAAAGAAGAAAATTGATGTGACTAGCTTCACAGATATAGTTAAGACAGATGTCAAGCAGATGGAACAAAAAATATGTATGAATATTGTAGGGCAGTGATGGTGAACCTTTTCAGCACCGAGTGCTGAAATGGGAACGTGTGCATGTGCGTACATGTGTACCAGAAACCAGAAGAGCACATGATCTTCTGGTTTCTGGCGTGCACATGCACGCCCCCACCTGGTCTTCCGGTTTCTGTCGCACATGCATGGATGAAGACCAGCTGTCCAGTGCGCATGTGCTGGCTCCGCTGGGCCTTTTGGGAGTCCTCGCGCTTTCCTGCCTGCCCCCCTGTCTGTCCCCCTGGTCCCCTTTGGGGTGGCGGGATATCCCCACTGATGATATGGTTCCACAGCCCCGACCAGGAGAGAAAGTTGGACGGGCAATACCACCTCCCTCTGCTGAAAAGCCAGAGCTCCTTCCCAGCCTCATCCATGTTCCCAGGGCTTGGGTTGGGGGCCAGCAGGCGGAATGTCCGGGATGAAGCGCCCCCCCAGCCCACCAATGAGCCCACCAATGAGAACAAGTCAGCGCAGCCCCCCCCCCGAGCTACTTCCCAGCCAGTGCACCTCTTACCCCTCGGCGGCACCTTCCCGGCCGGCACGGCCTCTTACCCCTTGGCAGAGTCTCCATGTGTGAGGAGCTGCACTCTCCTCCTGGGGCAGCTCACCTCCCCGAAGGCGGTGGTTCCTTTTCCTCCTGGCTGCTCTAGCATCCCGGCTGGAAGCAGCAGCATGAGAAGCACCCCTGCTACCTTGCCTCTCGTGGTGGCAGGAGCAGCAGGCCCAGCCAACAAACGCTGCTTCATGTGCCCGAGCTGGCCAGGTGCTCCGGACCACAGACGCATGTCGGTGCCACGGGCTGGAGGGCTTGGGCCGCGCAAGAAGCCCATTCAGGCGGGGAGGGAGGGAAGCCCCATCATGCTCATCCTGGCTGGCAGCTCTGCTCCCCTTGTTTGTCCGGATTCCGGTGCACCTAGAACATGGTCTTCACGCACGCGGGAGCACCGGAAACCTTCACGTGCGTCAGGTTTCCAGCGTGCGCATGTGCACTGGCCAGCTGGCCTTCGCACACACATGCATGCCAGAAACCGGATGATCATCTTCCCGGTGCGTGCATGCACACTGGATGGCTGCTCTTTCGGTTTCTGGCGCTCCCGTGCATGTGAAGACCAACTGGCCAACACACCAGAACCCAGAAGAGCAATGGGTGATGGCTTGTGTGCCTGGAGAGATGGCTCTACGTGCCACTTCCGGCATGCTGCCATAGGTTCGCCATCACAGTTGTAGGGTATCATATTGTTTTGAAAAAGGTATTTGGGAAAGCTTTCCATGACATTCAGATTACCACATTATTTAAGTGTAGACTATATGGCACAACACTTAAACTGATGCTTGAAAATTGTATTCTGTAAAGAATATTCATCCACAGTCTTTTTTTAACAAAAGACTGTAGAGTGAAGTGGCATATTAAATGTCACAAGGAACAGTTATTGTACTCTTTTTAAAAAAAATTAATTAAATATTTTAATGACTTGGATGAGGAAGTGGAAAAAAAGATCTCTCAAAAATACAGGTGGCAGAGAACTGGGTGGAATGGCCAATGTGTTAGATTGGAAAGGAAATTTGACAGAGACACATATAAAAAGAATAGAAAAATGCAAACATAGAATGGGGGAACGTCAGCTTGGAAGTAATACCTGTGAAAAAGATACCTAGTTGACTATATACTAAATATAAACCATCTCTATATTTTGGCTTTAAAAAGTAGTTGAAGATTGTGTCAACATACATATAACTTTCAAAGCATGGGAAATAATAAATTAACATTATTTTATGACACTTGGTCATATCCTATCTTGAGTATTTTGTTCATTTCTGAGCAACCATACCATGTATTGGAACAAGTTTAAAGAAAGTCAGCAAGGATGAACTGGGAACTAGAAGTTAAGTTCTATGAAAAAAAAATGGAAAGAACTGGGAATATTTTAGCCTTGAGAAGATACTGTGAAAGCACTTTAAAAATATCATAAGAAGTGTCATATAGAAGGCCCCAATTTGTCCTTCATCGCTTTAAGGTGCAAGATATGATAATGGTTTTAAGTTCCAGGAAATGAGAGTCTAATTCTGATTTTTGTTTATCGTAATAGTATAGAATAAATTTGACAATGGAACCCAGATAATTGTAACATCCCCTTTCTCTGAGTGTTTTCAAACAAAACTGAATAATCATCTATCTGGGATACTTTAAATTTAAGTTCGGTTTGAGCATGAAGTTAATTTCAATAAACATTTGGCTCCTTCCAAATCTATGATATATGTGCATTGTCCTTTTACCACAATTGATGTCTGAACTGCAGGGATGTATCCAGCCCTTGGTATCTATGATGCTTTATCACATGAATTCTCCCAAAGGAATAAATATACCTATTTGAATTCTACATTAGCAGTCATTAAAGATTACCATGGAAAGAATATAAAGTAGACTTCTGTGAACTGCTATGTTGTGGCTGAAAGACAAGCTTTGACATTTATTAGGCTGTAAAAATTATTATCAGACCAATTGTTCTATGATAAAGCAGAACTGTGTTGTTTTTATTCCTAGATGAAACAGCCAGCTCTCTCTTAGAAGCAGTTGATGAAGAAAGGTCTCATGTGAAGCCCTTTTTCTCTAAAACAATTCAAGATATAGAAGTTGTGGAAGGAAGTGCTGCTAGATTTGACTGTAAAATTGAAGGTATTTTTCACTAATTTAGAAGACTTTATCAGCTATCTACTCTGTCATTTTCCTTTTGTGTTGGTGTATTGGTATTTTTTTATCTTCTTGCAGTTTGATGTGTCTTATTTACCAATCCCTGTTCTCATTTTCTGGATGAGCTACAAGATAGAATTCTATTTTAAATACAGGTTTATTCCAGTTATCGATGACCAAATCTGGTTTTTAGTTATTGATTTATCTTGACGTACCTTGAGAGGGCTGTCATGTAAAGAAGATGTTGTGTGTTCTGCCTGTTTCAAATTAATTGGGTACTAACAGGAACTGCAGATCCACAAATGTATACATTGATTGACATTATAGTCTTATGTAACTATAATTGTACAACTAAGACATATCAGGGAATAGTTGCTGTTGGACTCTGGCTGAAATCTTGAGTACATGTGTTACAGGTAAGTGGGTTTAAATTTTTATAACCATATATGGTCACTCTAAAACCAACCATACATCTATCCACTTTACATTTCATATGGTAGTTACTGTATCTTGTATTTACTGAGTTTATGCCATATCTGCTAATAAAATATGCAGCGTTTAAAGGGAGCTGTTAAAGAGCAACATCTGGATTATGAAGATTCCACAGGATCCTCTTACATGGCCTGCAATTTCTTAGAATTGGACTTTCTCTAAAAACTCCATTTGTACTGCAATTTTTGTACACTATGAATTGTTAAATAACTTAGCTGATTAATGCACATCTACATCCCCGGGTCACCTGGTTTTTTTAATGGCAAATTCAAATGATTGTCTATTTCTTTTTTATATTCAACACTTATTGCTTAAAAAATTTTTTTACAAATAAAATATCTTCATTTTGACATCTGGTATTTCTCAGGTTACCCTGACCCGGAAGTGATTTGGTACAAAGATGAGCAATCTATCAAGGAATCCCGGCATTTCCAAATTGACTATGACGAAGATGGCAACTGCTCTTTGATTATTTCTGAAGTTTGTGGGGATGACGATGCCAAATATACTTGCAAGGCAATTAACTGTGTGGGAGAATCAACTTGTACAGCAGAACTTATTGTGGAAACATTGGGGGAAGAGGAAGAGGAAGAAGAATGAATCAACAGAAGAGGAGAAAAATCACTCAGTTGAAGACTCTTTAATGCTCATGTAGTGTGACATTAGGTCATAGTTTTCTTGATTTGTTTTATCAGCAGTGTGGCTGACACCTGTTTTATTTATGGGCATTAACTTGAATTAACAAGCACTTTAGTTGGCTGTTGTGCTTGGATTTAGTTTAAGTTAAAGCATCGGTTGCATAGCCCAGACAACGAATGTGAACACACCATATGAAGCTAATCTGCTAGAATCAACCATTTCTTTCGTAAACATATGATCAGGCGAGAGGAACTGGATAAGTATACTAATTGTTTCATCAAGCAATATAGCTAGCAAAAATGCATCTTTGGTGTTCTGTGACACCATTGAAGTATGTATGAATGAAGTACATTTGGAGCAATAAAATTTTAACTGCAAGGGGCCCACTGGAAATACAAGAGTAACACAGAAAGTTTCCTGATGGGATGCAACCTTAGACTCTAGTTGGCTTCTCTTTATCAAACAGATACTAAATATAGATAATTATCTCAATGCCATCTTTGCAACACTTTGCCATATTCAGTTTTAGTGGGTTTTTTTCCCCACCAGTGGCATCCCATTAACAGCATTTTGTGTCTTTCTTAACTTTCCCCTTGAGAGTTATTTGTAAATTCAGATCAGAAAACCTCAATTTCAGAGTAAGTTATTTTAGGTTTCTCCAAAATAAAACTAATACAGTTTTGAGTCCAGGCAAAATAGCTTGACAGTTCGGTAGATTGCATCTTAAATCCTGTTTAGAAAATGAAAGACATTTTCCCTATTTTTCTTTGTAGCAGTTGAGCTGAGTGGTGGATTTTCCTAGTGAGTTGTATGTTATTATGATCATCATGGTAACAGTAAGAGCAAAAATGAAAAAAGAAGAAAAAGTTGCAGATACAATTTGTAACCAAGTTGGCTAGCACGCTTGGTGTGTTGGCTGAAATTCTACATTAACCCTGCTGTGGTGAAAGATGCCAGGTTGCGTCACCATAAGCTCATTTGGTACTGAATGGCTTTCTTTGAAGGACGGGAAAAAATCTTAATTAATACTCTGTCCTGATTGCAGATTTCTATTTGCATCACTGCTCTGAATGCCAAAAGGAAAATGTGTCACTTTATCAGAACAAAGTAAAAGGTTTTGACACATAGACTTGCTGGAAACGAACAGTATATTATGAAACATCAATGGCTGTGTGATGCAATTCCGGTTTATTTGTATCATTATTTTGCTCTTATTAGAAATATTTGCCAAAAACTGGATAGTCAGAAAAGAGAGTTCGGTTACAAGGTCCTCTACAAGTTCCAACAAACACAAACTCAGTATTTGTGAGGTTGATGTCTTCCCGGTAAATAAATACATGCAAACAAAGATGCACCTGATGGTTAAAAAATATGTACCTTCCTCCAAATCGATTAACACATTCAGATTTTTCCGTGTTGCTTTCCTTTCACAGTTAGCAGTCATTCAACACCTAACAGTACCTGTCTACACTTAGTGCATCATTCCAACTCTTAAGGCTTTTCTCCACTTTTTCTGCAAGATGCAAATATTTTCAGCATAACCATTGGCTTCATTAAAGAACACAGAGAACAAATTTTGCATTAGCTTCTCAAGGCAGAAGAGGAAAGTTAAGTATACTTCAATATAGATACATACAGTATCTTTAGAACGTTTGATCTTATTACTGTAGTCTTACATGTTCTGTATTTGCTTGTCTGCCTGTTGGAATGCAGATATTCAAAATTCCATTTATGATATGTACTCACATTTGCTGTGGGGTTTTTTTATTACTGCTTTCGCTGTTTCTTAGTTGAACTTATCAGCATGTCCTCTTTTTAAGTGGATGAGAAACTTTTGTTATAATAAAACACAGTCATTGCCAGTTTGCCACACATTGTTATAAGGCAATTTTAATATTATTTAGTGCATACAAGGCATTTTTTCACATGTTTTCAATGTGTTAAGAAAACAGTGGGGTGTATTTTTGTATATCTTAATTAAAAAAATATGCTAATGTTTTCTGGTGTCTTAAACAGAGAGGGAATATTCGAGAACACTACAGCTGTAGTTACTCACAATTTCTCAATAAATACGTATCACAAAGCATGTTGCTACCAGTTCATTTGTTCAATTTAAGCTCTACTTTCTTTTCCTGAGCCAGGGTGAATGTTTGAGAACTTTAGTTTACCACTCCCTGATAAATTTATAAATTATACTGCTTGCATGAGCCAGAGTAATGTAACTTTCTACCTAGACAATAGATTTGAGTTGTAAAAGTATATAAATATGACAAATTTAGCTGAAAACTAAATTATTCCTCTTGGCCCATGAATCTTTTTAATTTGTATAAGTGGTTGTGTTTGTTTGCAAAATGGTTCTACTAAGAGTTCTTTTTAAAAAAACATAAATCTATAAGCCTTTAAATGTTTGCTTGAAGGCAAACACAGCACACCTACTTTATTTAACATTTTTGGAGAAAAGAATAGATTCTTTCAACATGCTTAATTAAAAAAACAAATCTTAAAAGATCAGGAAAGAAAAATAACATATGAACTTTCTGCCCTGAGACCCATTCTAGTCAGCTTTCTTTGCAACTGGTGAACTATTTGCAGGTTCCCAAAAAGGAGGGAAGGCGAAATGGGAAGAAATGGTAAAGGCAGGGAAAAGTGTGTGTGTGGGGGGGCAATCTTTAGGAGATGATCAGGCTGAGCCTGGGGTGTGAGGTTAAATGAATCATTAGTTTGTGGTCTACACCCCATAAGAGACTTGAGTCCAGTCCCCCTTGAAGTTCGTTGACTTATTTCATCTTGACTTAGATCAGATTGTTGTTGTGTATAGGTAGCATGAAATAAACTTGTTGTACTTTTAAACTCCATTCTGGTTTCTGATCTCTTGCATCTGACACCACCTGCTGGAGGAAATATTGTAGGCTCAAAATGGTGGCCTGCTCTCCTGTCTTCTGCCTTGGTCTTTTGTGGTTTCTTTCTTTGCCTACTGCCTTCTAACTCACTTCAACACCCCCCCCCCAATCTCCACCTTCTAGGCATTTTATTCTTTTTTCCTTCATTACCTCTTTTCCCTTCCATGCAGCCTACATTACTACATCCTGGAGTATGACAGGAGCTATCTACTAACTTCTGTGTGGTGTGTGAGGGTGTGCTTCTATTTTATTGTCTATGGCTGCTATTTCCTGGTATCCAGCATTGTGAAGGAATGAGCAAGTGCCAAGGAGGGAAAAAAGAAACATTTTTAAGAATTAAGTTTTCAATTTTGGGGATGCTGTGTTAAAGAGCCGTGGCGGTGCAGTGGTTAGAATGCAGTATTGCAGGCTAATTCAGCTCACTGCCAGGAGTTTGATCCTGACCATCTTAAGGTTGACTCAGTCTTCCATCCTTCTGAAGTTGGTAAAATGAGGACCCAGATTGTTGAGGGCAATTATGCATGAATTTTATTTGTGACAGTTATTCATTAAGAAGTATAGTATTAAGTGTTCCTTTTTCTCCATTTTGAACTGTTCTGTCTTCAAAAAGCACAGAACTACTTGTGTAGTTCTCTCTCTTCCTACACAGTATCCCTCCGGGTTGCGCTAAGTGGAGGAAGAGAGAAAAGTTATTTTCAGGAGACAGATAAACCAATATGATAATTCACCCTGTGTGATTAGTTTACAGTCATTGCTGTGCATATTATGAATTAAAGGCAAGTTGAATCAACTTTGGTTAATTAGCCATCTATGGCAGTGGTGAAATTCAAATTTTTTTACTACCGGTTCTGTGGGTGTGGCTTGGTGGGTGTGGTGTGGCTTGGTGGGCATAGCTTGATGGGTGTGGCAGAGGAAGGATACTGCAAAATCTCCATTCCCACCCCACTCCAAGGGAAGGATACTGCAAAATCTCCATTCCCACTCCACTCTGGGGCCAGCCAGAGGTGGTATTTGCCGGTTCTCTGAACTACTCAAAATTTCCACTATCGATTCTCTGAACTACTCAAAATTTCCACTACCCGTTCTCCAGAACCTGCTGGATTTCACCCCTGATCTATGGGCGTTCTTCTACAAAGTCAAATTTTTATTGTGATTTATATTGCAGTTTGAACTTCCATACACACATATACATGCACAGAGACTTAAATTGATTCCTACTCCATGGATATCATTCTTCTGCTCAAGACTGGAATTCCAAGATTTAAAGTATAACTGCACATTCCTCTTTTTGAACATTTATGAAATACAGATCAAAAGTCCATTCAGCATTTAGAAAGCAGGAGATGGTGAATTCTAGTCTAGCATGACAGCTGGCTGGGTGACTTTGGGCCAGTCATTCTGCCTCAGGTCAACTCACTTTCCACTTTAGAAAAACATAAAGGGAATATAAACAAATAATGGCAAAATTTCACCAAAACAACTAGTTCAGAGAGTATTTCTGTGCGATCTGAAGTTTTCGGAAAGTTTGAAAGCTTCTGTTTAGTTTCAGCAATTCTTAATGCATAATTTCTGGAAAGATGTGATCTTTGGAAGACAAAATGTTCAAGTCCTTGATATTTCTATTTATGCACTGGAGTGAACCAAGAATTGTGAAGCATATGTATTTAGTGTCAACATTTCCCAACAGAAACGTGATTTGGCATTAGCTATTAGGACAACAAGCTGACATTCCAGAAGCATTAGTAGTCCTTCTAAATCAACATTTTGAAAAAGCATTAAAGTTTCACACACACACACTCACACAATAGGTACAATTGTAGTGTTGGATTCTTTGTAAATCATGGAATCCGGACTATCTTCTTCAGCAAATAATTCTGGGAGAAACTAAGAAACTGGGTATGCAATCCCATAATTCCAATGCAAAATTACTTTGCTTCTCACTAAACCTATATAGAATTCTGATAAAACTAAGAGCTTTCCTAAACATGTGCAACCACACCTGCATGCACACACCAAATTATCCACAGCCCCTTCCCACACACACACACATAATTATTCACAGCCTTGTTAAACAGAGCTTCCTTATTTAAAAAAAGGTACAGCTTCAAACTAAAGTTCTAACATACAGAAACCAGTTATACTTGTAAGACAGTTGAAAAACATGTTCCTTGATTATCTATAAAAGGAAGCCCTTAAATAAAATCTGTGATTTTTCCCAAACAGAGAAGGGAAGTTCCCAAGACTTCCCTATGGAAATCTTTGAGGATTTCCTTTCTCCTCTTGTCACACGGAAGTTATTTATTTATTAATCACATCTGTATGACTGCCCATCTAATAAGAAACTACTCTGGGTGGCATACAACAATAAAACAATATAAGAATCATTACAGAAATATAAAAGGTTCCTTCACGGCTTGGCACCAGGTTATCTGAGGGACCGTCTCTTTCCAGTCATATCTACCCGACCCATTAGAGCGGGGAAGCAGGGAACGCTGCAGGTCCCATCCCCAAGGAAGATACACCTTGTGGGACCCAGAAGGGCCTTCTCCATGGTGGCTCCCTCTCTCTGGAACATCATTCCACCAGAGATTAGAAGGGCCCCCTCTCTAATTCTCTTCTGGAAGGCACTGAAGACTTGGTTCTGCCAGCGGGCCTGGGGAACCCAGAGTGGGATGGAGCCCATTAAATGGCTCTTGTGATCAGCTGTTGCTGGGGCGGGAGGTGGGGGGGTGATTTTATTACATTAATTTATTTGATTTCTTTATTAATTTTTTTTAAATGTGGTTTTTAAATTCTGTAAGCTGCCTTGAGTCGCCATGGGAGAATAGGGGGCAATATAAATTTAATAAATAAATAAATATTCATATAAAAATGTAAAACATTATAAAAATTTAAAATTTACAAACCACACTGGGAGAGTAAAAAGATTGGTCACAATGAAGCTACCTAAGACTATCTGATTCCCTTTGTCCCCCAGTCCTGGTAATATAATCAGGTCTTGAGGGACTTTTGAAATAGTAATGGGGATGGAGCTACCCTGACTTCGGAGGTGAGAATAGGGAGGACTGCATAGCAGAGAAGATTCTTCTCCAGAAATGTAGATTTCTGGCAGATGATAACCACAACATGCCTTCTCTGCCCATTCTGATAGGACAGGCCGATGTAATCATGGAGAGGCGGTCCTTCAGATAACCTGCTCCCATACCGTGAAAGGTTTTAAAGGTTAAAATCAGCGCCTCAAATTGGACCCAGAAGCAGACTGGCAGCCAATGCAGCTTGTGGAGCAGAGGGGTAGTATCTTCTTTCCTGGGAACTCACATAATTGCCTTGGCCACTGCATTCTGCATTGTCAGAAGCTTCGGGATACTCTTCAAGGGCAGCCTCAAGTAAAGTGCATTACAGTAGTCCAATCTGGAGGTAACTGGGGCATGAGCACAACTGGTTCAGGAAAGAGCACAACTGGTGCACAATTACAAAGCGGTGCAAAGGCCACAACTGCCATTTGTTTTTTGGGTAGGAATTGTGTGACTAGGACCCCCAAATTGTGCACTGGGTCTGTCTGGATGTCAGCCCTCCCAGATAAACCAGACAGGAAACAGAACTGAGTGAATTAATTCTACTTTATTGTGTAAGGTTACATGAACAGAATTTTGCAACTCTTAAAGTACAAACTATCTGCCTCCACTTTAAATTTCTCAATCTATTAAGGCGGATCCTTTCTAAGTTTCTTTCTCTAACAGTTAAAGCCTCTGACTGGGGTTCCTCCCTCTCTTATCTGATTGTTTCCTCGGCAGCATCTCTTCATCTCTTTCCCTAAGGTCATCCATATATCCCATTAAATCAGGGCAATGCCACCACAATGAACACCAGATATGACATAGCCCTAGAACCAGTAGGCCCATTTATTCTTGCCAGAGTTCAGCTGAAGCCTTTCTCCACCATCACAGCCTCCAGACATCGGGATAAGACATTCACGGCTGCATTTAATTGACCAGGGATGTATCAGCATGCTCATGATAACTCACCCCATGGCAAAGAACAAGCTCACCAAACATTTATGTAAATAAATGTTCAATAAGAAAGGGAGGATTACTCAACCATGTGGCACCCTATGTAGTACTGGCCAAGGGTGGGCCTCTCCTTCCTAATCGTCACTTTCCATAACTGACCACAAATAAAGGAGGCAAACCAGATAACCAGGCTGCCCACCCCCAATCCTCTGAGCCAGTCCAGGATACCACATTTGATGGGATTGAAAGCTGCTGAGAGGTCAATAGGCAACCTCCATCCTGCCTATGCCAGAGACCATCCAAAACATGATAAATGCTGTTTCCATCCCATACCTGGGTCTGAATCCTGACTGAAAAGGATCCAGATAATTCACTTTATTCAGGGCCTTCTATTCTATTCTATTCTATTCTATTCTATTCTATTCTATTCTATTCTATTCTATTCTATTCTATTCTATTCTATTCTATTCTATTCTATTCTATTCTATTCTATTATTCTATTCTATTCTTGCCTGAGCAGGGGTTGGACTAGAAGACCTCCAAGGTCCCTTCCAACCCTTCTGTTAGTCTGTTACTTATTGGTCCACTAGATAGGGTCCAATGACAGAGGCCGGAAAGGTCGTAAGAAAGGACGAATCCGAGTCAAAGAATACGGTTTGCTGAGCCAGGCAAAAAGCACGGCGGGGATTTACAGCGCTGCTGCGGTCGGCTGCTTAGGTACGCGGCGCTTTTCGTGCAGGCTCCCGATGCGGCCGCTCAGTCTCCGGCCACAGCTAGGCAGCCCCAGCGGCTGCTCTTCCTCTCCGACCAGGCGGCCTCCTCCTCCTCCCTCTGCCTACCTCCCCGGGCGAGCCCTCGTGACGCCGCGGGAGGCGAGACACTCCTGGGCGGCCGCCTTGCTCAAGCTCCGCCTCGCGCGCCTGACCTCGCTCCTCTCCCGGCACAGGGGAAGCAGTTGAAGCGGCGCTATGGCGACCTCCGGCAGCTGCAGCGGGACCGGCCGCCGGCCAGAGAGCGGCTCCGGGAGCAGGAGCCCGCAGGCTCAGCAGCCCGGCGGCCGGCGGCGGAGAGGCCCCGGCGCCTTAGCGACGGCCTATCTAGTCCTTTATAATGTGGTCATGACAGCCGGGTGAGCGAGCGCCGGCGCACTCTTGGCGGGTGGGTGAGCTTGGTTTCGGGGCGCGGAAGGAGGGCGTGTGTTGGGCCGCTTCTTCTCGGGCGGCCCTCTGACTTCTCTCCCTTCCCTCTCCTGGGCGTAATGGCCTTTGCTCCTTTGAACCTGCCTTTCTTTGCAAAGGTTGGAGATGCACATAAGCAGGCGCCTCTTCTCTTTGGGATCCTTACCGAGGACGCCAGCTTGGTGATTTAATAAGAAATATTTTTATTTTGTAGTCGGGGGCCATTGTGTAATTAATATGCGAGCGTTTGCTTCCCAAAAAGAGCTTTTCTATGTCATGCATCATAATGTGTGCATTTAATGGGGTAATAATGTTCAAGGCTTGGCGTGTACACTTTGTGCTGGGAGGCGATTATGGAGGCTGAAGCGCTCACTTTAGGCTCTGGGAAAATCTGTGGTCATCTCAGTTTGCACCTGTGGCAAGTTTTAAGCAATTCTTATTAGAAGGATCAGATTCATTTCTTAGGGATGGAGACATCACAGGTAAAACATACCTTTGGTGGGTGGGGAAAATAGAATAGAAGAGCCTTGGTGGTGCAGCAGACTAAAGTGCTATTAAGTATTAAGAAGAGCCTGTAGTACAGTGGACTAAAGCACTGTTATTAACAGATTAACATCTGCTGCTTGCAATTACTGCAAGTTCAAATCTCACCAGGCTCAGGGTTGACTCAGCCTTCCATCCTTTCAAAGGTAGGTGAAATGAGGACCCAGATTGTGAGGGCAATAAGCTGACTTTGTATAAATATACAAAAGGATGAAGGCTATTGCTTAACGCATTGTAAACCGCCCTGAGTCTCCGGAGAAGGGCGGCATATAAATTAAAAAAAAAAAAAAAAAAAAAAAAAGTAGCACCAGCTGCCTGCAATTACCGCAAGTTCAAATCTCACCAGGCTCAAGGTTGACTCAGCCTTCCATCCTTTCGAGGTAGGTAAAATGAGGACCCGGATTGTAGAGGCAATAAGCTGACTTTGTATAAAAAAGAACACCGCTTAGCGGGGGCCGAAAGCCCTACTAAGCAGGTATATACAAAAGTATGAAGACTATTGCTTAACGCATTGTAAGCCACCCTGAGTCTCCGGAGAAGGGCGGCATATAAATTGAACCAACCAATCAATCAATCAATCAATTTTTTTATTGTAGAGGGATTAGGAGGATTTTACAGTAACAGAGCTAGAAATAAGTAGTGCCCTTGATTTTTTATTTTTGTTTTATTTTTTTTAAAGCATTTGAAGTCTAAAGTACAGTATTGTGCTGATTAACATTAGGCATTTGGCGTTTTCCAAAGAAATTATGACAATGTTTTGGATTATGTTTTGGATTATCTGCAGAATAACTTTTTCTTTAGCTCCTTAAATTGATCGGGGCTATTTCATCATCACTTTCTTAAACCATTATCTTAACAATGTAAGATAGATATGTGCCACGTTTGTTAAAATACGTTTGTTCTTTTTGTTTGCCTATAGAATTTGCACTGTACAAATGATTATTAGATTCCAATAATAAGAAAGCAATAATTTGAAACTGATATGTTTGAGGTGCATGACAAATTTCTGTGTTACAACAGTACATACAACATTAAGGTTCCAGGATTGAGCATACATGTGGCAAGAACATACTTAGAAAATATGAGGCATGTATAGGTTGATTTTTGAACTCGTGTGTCCATTCTAAATGTCAGCAGGTTGTCTTTCAGTATAATCAGCGTCATTTGCAACCATTTTTGGATCATATCACTGTCTTCTACTATCACCTTATCGCTATCTAAAGAAAGAGAAAACAGCCAAGAGAAGAGGTTGCTTAGTGATCACTGTCATTATAGAACTGCTTGCCAACTAAAGTATCATTAGCTTTGGATGTATTTGCATATGGTGAGAAATAGGTGCTATTTCTCAATGCTGATGCACCACTAATCCAGGCATGTAATGCACAAGATAAAAATTAAGTCACTAAGCTGCTCAGAGTTGCTTTGAACTGCAAGATGGGCAGCAAATAAATGTGTTAATAATAAGTGGGAGTTTTTGAAGAAGCAGAATGATAGTGAGAAAAATTATGAACAATGCTTCTCATAAGAGTTTTTCCTTGCATTGATTATCTGATTATCCTTGCATTGATTATCCTGATTATCTTTGCCTTATTTGCTGGGCAGGTGGACATATTTCTAAACAAAATTTGAAACTGTAATTACTCCTATTTTTAAAAAAAATATTTTGTAAAAAATACCAATACAAGAATTGTAGTAAAGGTAAATCTACAAGCCTTTACTTTACTTTACATCGTGCCAGTTTTCCATTCAGTCTATTTAAGTAAAAGGTAAAAGAAGATAGAATATGAAACTTCATCGGCAGATTATAACTATATAACAGGTTATAAGTGTAGGCCAGAAGGTATTAAATGGGAAATGTTTGCAAGCACATTAGTAAGCCTTACTCCACAAGTATAGTCATTATCACAGCTTTCATGTGATACCACAATCCTGTAATTCCTGCAAGATCCCAAATTATGATCTAGATTCTAGAACTTCTAGAGTGTGTGCAACTCCATTCAGAACTGGATGAACAGCTCTAGCTAAAACGTATTTTCCCATCATCAGTTTCTGTCTTGTCTGTGTTAAGTTGCAGATAATTTTCATCCATTTCAAAACTGTCTCTGAACTTCTGGAGCTCTCTACTTTCCCAGGGATTAGTGGATGTTTCTTAAAGATAAAGATGTGTTTCAGTAACAACTTTGTGACACTTTAAGTTGGGTAGAATAGATTTCTCTAGCAATGTTATCTCAAACATCAGCTGAACACATTCTGCTTTTGGAAACAGAATCATAAGGCTGGATCTCACAGGTCTTCTGGTCAAGCCCCTGGTCAGGGCAGAAGCCTTATACCTTTAAAACCTTATCTTTTTAAAGAATTCAAGTTCCAAAGTGCAGAAATCTAAAGCCAGCACAACATTGTGCCTCCTGAATTTCCCCTATATGTGCTTTGCTATAAATAAACATGAGTGTGACTAAGTTGGTTCATTATGAGGTTGCTAAATAATTCACATAGTAATTTTAAATTAAGATAACTCCTAGTCTAGTTCCCATTGATGTTATGTCTGCAGACACTCACTTGTTTCCAGGTCCTACCAGTTTTTTGTTGTTTTTTTTTTTTACAAAAAGGCTGACATGCATCACACCAACACCAAACAATGCATAACACCAACTTTCTTTCTAAGAAAATAAGTCTCTGAAGGTTATATAATTACTTGGTAAATCTCATTGGATCTATTGGATCCTAGTAAAGAGTAGCTAGTAAAGTAGTACGGTAGTAGTAGAATACAGTTTATTCGATGATGTGCACTTGTGCTTTGTTTCTTTGGAGACATTTAATATTGAATTCTGTTCTTTGTACAACATTGCATGACATTGTCAAGCTTCATACGAGAACTCTGTGTTAGAAATGAGTCAATCCTTATCAGTTGATCAAAACCTAATGGCTTTAGACTCAGTTTTATTCCTAATGTTCAGTTAATACAGGTTCTATTTACTTCTATTTAAAATATTTAAAAGAAGCTCATTTTTAGCTTTGCAGTTGTAACTGTTAGATTATAATTCACAGTTTTTTCAGCAACCAGACAGGTTAAGTATATTTCTGTCTTGGTGGAATATAATGCTGAATCATTTATTTTAAGAAGGGTATATTATATTACTCTTAAAATATTTAATAGTGCATGGATCTAGATTGTTGGGGGCAATATGCTGACTCTGTAAACCATTTAGAGAGGGCTGTAAAGCACTATGAAGCAATATATAAGTTTAAGTGCTATTGCTATTTCAAGAAAAACATCAGTGTTTTCCTATCTCTTTTTCTTCTAGGTGGCTTGTTATAGCAGTTGGTTTAGTCAGAGCATATCTTGCAACGGGTAGCTATCATAAACTCTATCATTCAATAGAAAAGCCTTTGAAATTCTTCCAGACTGGAGCTTTGCTTGAGGTAGGTATATCACAAGGAAAGTCTTCAAACCTAGGCCAGTGATGGGAAATCTATGAAACGTATGTCAAGAGGTGGCATGCCATATCATTTTTGGTGAGATGCCAGGCTTCAGGAACCCTTCGGAAGTTGTGCAAGAAGGCCTTGCTCTTGTGCAGTCCGAAACATCCAAAAATTGCACATTCTCATTTTCATACAATTTCCTGAGACTCCAAAGGCCTCACAAGAGCAGAACCCTCCTGCATGACTTTCAAAGGATCTGGAGAGGCCTTTGAACCCTCTGGAACTCACACAGCTCTGAGGTGTCAAAAAATTGTGCAATTTCCAGAGAGAAAAGGACAGTCTGAAGAGGAGGTCCGAAGAGACCTTTTTTTCTCTAGGATGTCAGCAGAGTCAAAATAAGCATTTTGTGACCTTTTTTTTTTTTGGTCACACCAAGCCCAAAAAGTTCACCATCACTACCCTAGGCATTTCGACTTATTCCTATATTGTAATGTTGAATTAATTACTATCCCTTTTAAATACATCATCTTTTTGCAAGATTTATTCTGTCAAATGAAAAAAACATTTTTATTTGATAAAACATAAGTATAATAGGAAGCATAATGATATCAGGTGCAATAAAGAAAGACTGACAAATAATAAAATTACCATTTTCAAGTGAATGTGTTTTCCTTTGAAATTAAAGTTTAGGCATTTGACATATTTGGTAAAAATGTCAAATTAGAGACTTCATGCTTTTTTTTATCACAATATAAAGAAGAAATATTCTATTGATAGAAAGTTCATCAGAGAAAATTAAATTCTTTTTAAAAGTGGTTCTGATATCTCAACAGAAGCTCACATAACTGCCAGATCTTCCAACATGTCACTCGCTTCTCTTCCCAATTATGCATATAGAGGAGAGATTGCTTTATTTCATGGAAGAAGTTCTGATCTGACAATGATCATTGTCTCATGAACATACCCAAAGAAGAATGAATGTTTGAGAACCCCAGAATCTCTTTTAAAAGAGATAAGTCAATCTTCCTCTAATAACATAATTTTCTAAAAGGTGGCTTCTCGGCACAGCAACATTGTAGATGAGGAATTTAGTCATTGGTGAGATGAAAGTTGCACACAATTATTATTGAACAGATAAGAAATACATGTTATGATAAAAATGACTGGTGGAGATACTATGTAGGAACAATGTTCTTAGTCATAACCATGATACCGTTGTAAAGAAAAATATGTTACAAATGTGAGAAGTCTTAATTATTTCTGACCTTTTTTTTTTTAGATCGTGCACTGTGCAGTAGGTAAGTTTTTAAATTAAATATTTAATAACTCTCTTTTGGAAGGCAAGGATGGAATTCTACTCAGTCATTTAAAGGAATGGCAACTATATATAGCATGACATACATCCAGTTTCTCAGCATTTGGTTTTTCTTATTTTTGTTTTAAACATGCATTTGAACATGCAACTATAACTGGTTTCTCAAAAGTAAGAATTACATGTTCAGACAAACAGAAGTTATTTCAACCTGTTATGTTTATTGCTTGTATTGAATTGAATATAGCCCTTGTTACGGTGTTAATTATTTAATAATAAAAATTGGCCTATTTCTGCTTCATACTGCTTATGGAACAACTGTTAGGTATAAACATTAAAGTTTGCCAAAATAAAATGCAGCATTTTGAAGCAATTTACTTACAAGTTGAAAATTTGATCCAATTTTTCTGTTCTTCTGGCCTCATCACAGGAAAGTCAGTGATTTCCCACCCACCCAGCCCCTTTTTTTTTAATAGCTGACCTGGCTGCCAGAAAACAAATGAACATGCTATTTCAACTGCCAGGCTAGAAATAATCAAGCTTACACTTTATTGCAGTTAGGTGAAAAAGTCCTTTTGCAGGATCTCTGAGGAGAGATCATTGTCCTGGGACAAACAGGCAAACAAGGATGGAGACCAGTCAGAAAGGGAATCCAAAGGAGATGGAAGAGTTAATAAAGTCAGGATAGTCACAGGCAAGAAATAGGTTTTAATTAAGTTGTCCCCAGCATTGTCCAAAGGGAAGGATGGCCATTAATAAGCCATGCTGAACCTCTGCCTAGTCCATAGCTGAGACTCATAGGATAGTAGTCTGCCCCCCCCCCCCCCCCAAAAAAAGCCTTTTGGCCAGTCTCAGATTTGTGCAGTTCTGGGTTGAATCTTCATGAAGGATCTCTGCTTCAGGCCAAGGGGCTGCATATCTGAGTCTGTCGGAAAACAGTTGAGAGATCCTGTGAACTTATAGAGGCTGTCAGAACAAATGGGCTTGCTGACACCAATATTGCTGGGATCTCCAGCAAAGGGATTGCTGCCATCGATGCATTTTTCCTATCCTGTACTGAAGATGCGCTCCTAACCAGGGTCAACACTTTCCCAGTCTCTAGTAAGGCAATCATACCATTCAGGTGGGAGAAAAAATCTTGCTCTGGCAGAGGAGACTGGATCTCCCAGTATCTGTTAGATTTATATAGCACCTCCTGTAGCCCATTTGTCACTAGATGTCCAGGAACTCCCAACACCTAACATGGTTATTATTATTTGTTATACAAAAGCAAACTTTCTACATGTATGTATCTAATAACTCAGTGACAAAATCTAAAGCAATATTTGATTATGTTGATTGAGAGAAATACAGTTGAATTAGAAATAGTGCTTTATGTATGCACAAATGTTTACAGGTGAGAACTGATATCACTTTACTAGTGTTAAACTGTATTAATTTATAGAAAGATATGAGTTTTACATATGAAGAGTCTTTCATATATTGCCTCTTCCAGAGCTATTCAGACATTTCAGTGGAAATGTTTGGATTTTAATTATAGTCCCTAAAGAATCATTGGTGTCATGAAAATAAAATTACTGGGGGAAAATATATATTTCCTTCATCTGTCACAGGCAGTTGAATATACACTAGTCATTTATTCAGATTTGACATTGTCCCTTTACTGTCTGTGATAAGTGCTGTTTCATAAACAAGAGTTTGCTATTCAGCAAAAAAATTCATTGAAAATGCTATTATTGTAATTGTCTTAACTGGGTGATTGTTTCTTTCTGTGCTTGGCACCAGCATCTAAGAACTCATACAAGTATGTTACATGGGACATAATATCTTCTGTTGTTTAGCTCTGGCATCTGATAATCAGAAGGGAAACTAGTCATGTGTTTAGCAAATTAACTACTTGAAAATCATAATTTGCCATATTTTGAAGTTAAGCTATAGCATGTCTTCATCTCTGATCCAAAATTCAGCCATGAGAGAACATTTGAAACGAATAAAAGAATATTTAACAATATTTAATAATAACACATTAGAATTAATTTTCATAACACTGTCTTTTCAAATCAGATTACTATCTAAGGGGGGTAGTTTAGGAGCTCAAAAATGTATTAAATCTAAATTGTCTTCACAGGGATTGTTCCTTCTTCTGTTGTCTTGACTGCTTTCCAAATCATGTCAAGAGTTTTTCTGACATGGGGCATAGCCCACAGTGTAAAAGAGGTGAGTTGAGATTGAAGTCTTTTATTCATCCTTTATCATGAAGCTCCTATCTCTGTTCACTATGGACATTACTATATAATCTCTTTTGCTGATACCAGATGTGTATGTAACATGCAGTAAACAAATAACCTTTTTGGTACTGTTGATTTTAACGTCATATTTCAGCACCTTGGACATGTATATATCTGAAGTGAGATTCAGTAGGCTTTGAAGAGAACTAGGGGTCATTATCCAACTCATTGTTTGGAAAGGACAATCAACATTCACATGAACAGTTTCATTTTTTACTTCATTGGTTTCATTTATTGCATCCAATTTTCCATAAACCAAAATTATCATTATTATTTATTCAGGTTGTATGGCCAATTACCTTTCTAAGTGACTTTGTCCCCAATTAAAAAAAAAACTATATAAAGGGGGAAAAATATTTTTTAATGTAACTTAGTTTACAGTTCCCAGGTAGCATTGCTAGCAAGTCTGCTGGAAGATTGAGAGAGGATCTGTTTTTCAAACCTTTAAGCAGCTTTAATGTAGATTTCATTGGAATAGTTGTAGTACTAATATAACTTTACTTTATTTTACTTTACTTTTATTAGATTTCTATACTGTCCTTCTCCCGAAGGACTCAGGGCGATGTACAGCCATATTAAAACACATAAAATCTACAAAATTTAAAAACCATTAAAATCAAATATACAAAAATTTGGCCCACAAATTAAAAAACTAACATACACCCATTAAAATTCATATTCATGTTAGGCCAGCCCGGCTTGTTGAAACAAGAGGGTCTTCAGGGTGCGGTGAAAGGTGCGCAGGTTGGAGATGATACGCACATCTAGGGGCAACTCAACCAACGTAAACATGGTTAGAAATAATTCCAATCTCTTAACTATAGCATAGTAAGAACTGGATTGTAGAACACAAACATCCAAAATTAAAATTGTAGCTGTAATAAAGTGTAATTTTATTGATTGATTATCTAAGCAGCCCAGGCTAGTTGAAAGGATGTATTATTTTCTTTGAAAAAATAGTTACTTGCACTGTTACGAAAGCATTGTACATTTTTTTTGAAAGGCTGTCTACATACCTGAGTTCTTTGAACAAGTTCAACTATTGAGGATGTTGTAAGATGCATGTGTTTGATCTCTTGCATAAATCTTTCATGTCTTTTTCAAGTCTTAGTGAAAGAGACTTAATAATTTTATTCAGATTTCTCTTGAATATAGCTTTCTCTCAAACAAAATAAAGCTATCTTAATTCATTTGCCAGTCTAATGAAGGAATTATTTGTTTTGGTATCAAATATATGATAGCAGATTGTTCTTCTAATGTTTTCTTGGATGCTTTCTGATGTTTAGTGCCTAATATTAATTGCATGAGTCCAGTGATGCCTGAAGAATGTGCTTGTTCTACTAAGATGATAACATTGTTAACTTGTCCTGTCTTTTCCCCCCTCTTTCAAAAGTTGAATTCAAGAAAAAAAAACCTGCCAAATCTTTAATTTAAGTCCTGCTTTCTTACTTTTCATTAGGGAAGATAAATCAGTATGGCAAGCAAATGTGAATTAAAGCCAAAACTTTGTCATGTCAGATTGAAGACAGTGTGCCAGCATTCAAGGGTATTGCAAACTAGTAGTTAATCAGGCTTGATTATATTTTGTTTTTTTGATGTGTCAGGCATTGCTTAACTTTAATATCTTTACATTATTCTCATAATCTTTAGTTGGTGGGAAAAAGCTTAGTGTCCAATACTGTAAAGCTCTTATTCAGAACACTGATATGTCATTAGTTTTCTGCGTATTATTTTGATGGGACATTTATGATTCATGTGGCAGAATGAACCCAGTAGATCTTATGATTTTTAAAAACTGAGTATAGAGATTTCACCGATTTAATCTAGTTTAATCCATACCTTGACAACTAACCTGCTTAGCAATATATATATATAACTTGGTATTGCTAAAAGACTCAAAAAGCAAGTGAATTTCCTTTTCAGATGTTATTGAACAAAACTTCCAGTCATAGCTACGCATGTTGACCATTTGCAATGCTAAGATTATTGTCTCTAATAATAATATGGAACTATTGATGAGACTTTTTTGTGGGAGTTATTGAGCTGATGGTAGTAGAACAAGTTCGCAGCTCTCTTGATGAAGAAGATCTGAACTTTTTCATTCAGGGTATTAATTCCAAGTTCAGTATTGAGGCAACATTGGCCACTCTTAGAAGAGCATTGTCAGGTCTTGGATGGGGATAATCTATCCCTCCTGATTTATTGCAACCAGCAGCAGTTTTTAATACCATCAATCATGATATCTTATTGGACTGTCTGCAAATATTTGGGATAGTTGTTTGTAATGGTTGTTTTTCTTCCTCAGTGAATGGTTCCATCCTGTGATGGTGGGGGAGGAGAGGTTGGCTGAGTGGCCTTTCATATGTAGATGCTCTAAGGTCATTTCTCTCCCCCTTGCTATTTAACATCCACATGAAGCTGCTGGGAGAGTTCATCTGATAGTTTGGAGCTTAGGATCAACTGAGAAAAAGATACTGTTAATATTACTTACCAGTTCCTGTAGGCTGTGGGAATCTGAGATGAGAGAGAATCAGGGGTGAAATGCTCCCGGTTCGGATCGGATTGCCTGATCCAATAGCAATGGTAGCGGGTGGTTCGGAGAATCAGTAACAAAAATCCCTGCACACACACCCCCTTATGCCCAGATGAGCCGCGCGATCATCAGAGGCTGGTTTTTTTACTTTTAAAAGCATTTTTTCTACAACCTCTTCGGCCAAAAAAAATGCTTTTAAAAGTAAAAAAAAAAAAGGCTCTGATGATCGCGCGGCTCAGCTGGGATCGTCAGAGGCTTTTCAAAGCATTTTTTTTCTGCAACCTCTTCAGCTGAAGAGGTTGTGGGGAAAATAATGCCTTTTTGCCTCTGGCGATCCCAGCTGACTTGCCTGATCATCAGAGGCGTCTAAAAGCATTTTTTTCTGCAACCTCTTAAGGTTGTAGAAAAAATGCTTTTAAAAAATGGCCACGCCCACCCAGTCACATTACCTCCCCACCAGCAAGCCACGCCCACAGAACCGGTAGTAACAAATTTTAGATTTCACCCCTGGAGAGAATAGATTGAAGTTGAATCCTGGTAAGTCAGAGTTGGTGTTGCTACATTAAGATTCTCTGTCACCATCAGAATTGTTTCTTGATGAGCGAGCACAACCTATCGGAGAGAGCAAGTTCATGACTTGAGACTTTCTGGAGATTAGCTAGTGTACCATTTGTGATCCTACCTGTAGCAGGAGCACCTAATAGAGCTTATTATCACCATCCAGTTGGATTGGATGAGTATAATGGACTCTTGGGCCTTTAAAAACTACTTTTAAGTTGGCCCAAAGTTGGTCCAAAACAAGCAGGCTGTATACTTCCTGTCTTCCAATATTATCAGCAAATAAGACAAGTTTGGCCAATAGTTTTCCAGGTACAATTTAAATTGCTAGTTTTAACCTATAAAGCCCTTTACTACTTAGTACCCAATATATGATCACCTACTCCAACCAGTACTGGCAGGACTGATCAGATAAAAAGAGATATATTTTTGAGAATGGGAGGACACTGCCTTTCTTCGACAGCACCAACATTGTAGAACAGCTTCCCAGTAGAGATTAGGCTAACCCCCTCCCAGTTGACATTTTGAAAGCTACTAAAGACAGAATTGGAAACTACTATTTTTATTATTTTCATTCTTATATTTGGTGGGTATTGTTTTATTGTTCTTACTGAGAACTTTGTGCTATGGATGTTTTAACTGGTTTGTGTAAGCCACCAAGTTTTTTTTTTTATCGAGGCAGAATAGAAATAAGTAAAATAAACAAATATGTTTAAATTTTGATAGATTTATTGTTTTTCTTTATTTGTGCAGCAGTAAAGAACGAATTCCTTACTGAGGACTATTTTTGAAAGGAAGAATATTTGTGTACCTGACATTGGAGAGAAATAAAACCAGCTATTGGTGGTGGATGGAGGGATAGCTGTGTTTCATTTTAAGCTATGAATTATTTGTTAGTGTACCAGCATTAATTATTTATAATATCTCCAATACTCTATTAGTTTTGAATGATGCTGAAAATGGTTTTCCAGTCATTAGCCGATCTCGAGTAGCCATTGTTTAGTTCATTACTCTTATCATTGGAAGAGTGGAATGTAAAACAGTGTTCATCATATGCCCAGTAGGTGGCAGTAGGTGACATAAGTATCTTTTAACAAAATACTTAAAATGAGAGTCTAATACCATATGAAAGGTACTGTCTGCAGTCTTGTATGAAGTTTTTTTTTAAAAAAAAAATAATAGCACAGAGGGAAGATTTAAGTGCAAATAAAAGCTTTTTCAGTAATTACTAGCAACGTGAGGGATATCAGTCTCTTCTCTGCACCATGCAGAGTTAATACAATGACACTACAATTGATGTATTTAATACTGCAAGAAATTAGAACCTGTAATTTGTTAATTTACATATTGTTTCTGAAAATGCAGGTGTCTCCTTAAACTGAAGTTTCCTTTTGTATTGTTAACAGCAATGTCATTGATATAAAGTATTGATTACTTTTGGCAGAGTTATTCTTTTGAAAAGTAGAATCACTGACTGTTTTCTAGCACAGAAACCAATCGTAAAGCATTGTTCTTTATTCAAACATTATCACATGGTTACTTGGGTGATGTCATTTGAGTGATGTCTCTCTATTCTTTTATAGAGAGAACTATCCCATCCATCTCCTCTGCCCTGGTAGAGTCTATATAGTGGTGTTTTGTCTGCATCAACCAGTTTTTACCTTAGAACACTCCTCTTCAACCCAATTTTATTGGTAGTAAGTGATAAAAGTTCCTCCCTCAATTCTTTCCTCCATTCCTCTTATTCTGTACTATCAGAATGCTTTGGTGAGATAACCAACTGTAAATTCTATTTCCCAAATATCTTCTGTATTGAATCTATTTCAGAGGGAGAGCTGCCCAAGCTCCTAGAATAAACATGTTTCTGTTGGAGAGTCAATGAGGGAACGTTGAGTGAAATAGACAACAATTAGCAATAGGAATAGCACTTAGATTTATATACCGCTTCATAGTGCTTTTACAGCCCTCGCTAAGTGATTTACAAAGTCAGCATATTTCCCCCAACAATCTGGATCCTCATTTTAGTGACCTCGAAAGGATGGAAGGCTGAGTCAACCTTGAGCTGGTGAGATTTGAACTGCCGAACTGCAGCTAGCAGTCAGCTGAAGTAGCCTGCACTGCTACTCTAACCACTGCGCTACCTCGGCTCTATACATAAACAAAGAGGGCTAAAACATTCCCTAAATTCCTGGGAAACAAGATCATAGGAGAAGATACACAGGCAGGCTCCTGAAGTAAAATATAATCAGGTCTACAAAATTGTGTCAACCCTACGAGGTAGAACAGGAAGACTAGAATGATACTTTATTGAGACATAATAAACTTGCAAGCTTGCTTGTACTTTGCCTTCTCTCCATGTTGGAATGACATATAGTACCAGTGAACCTTGTTCCTTCAGTTCATACAACTCTAATTTTAATTATTTTTTTTTAATATGGACTAAATGACCAGTTCTTTCCTTTTTGCATGTCAGGATTTCATCTACATGAATAACTGGTTTTTTCATAGATCTACAGCTCTCCTTCCAATGCCCTTGACACTAGGAAGTCTGTTGCATTTTGCTTCAGCAGAAACATATCCTTTCTAAAAGAATCCCACATTTGTTCATTTCCTATGTTAGCACAAAGCAAGGTACTTCAGTTTCATTTCAGTGTTTTTTAAGAAGAGTGATGGCAGCTCTTAATCCTTTCTTTGATCTCCGTTAAGTGACTATGAAAGTTCGAGGCCACTTACCGCGGTGCTTAAAAGTTTATGAACCTATTTGAATTTTCAATATTCATGTTTTAGGTCATGTTTATGTAGAAATATTGAACATTCAAACAGTTCAAGAGACTTCACTCTATATAACATAGGTTTTGGTCATTTTAGCAGCTTTTTTGAGGGGAGCATTCTTTTATCCAAGATCTGTCAGTCTGCTAGTTTCAGCCTTCCTAATTAATTTGGCAGTATCAATTGAGTCTTCAATTTCAACAAGGTGGGATTGGCAAGGCTCACATTTTTTCCCCAGTTATTATTTTAGCTGTCTCCTTCTTTCTGATAGATTAGCTGGCTGATTCCTCATATGTATGTCCCAGACACAACAACGAAGAACAGGATTAAGGTTACCGCCCTCCCTTCCTTCCCTGCAGGAGAGTTTCAGTACAGGTAGTCCTACAACAAACAGGACCAGAATTTCAATTGCTAAGCAAGGCAGTTGTTAAGTGAGTCATGCCTCATTTTGCAACCTTTTTTTTAGAAACATAGAAAACTGACGGCAGAAAAAGACCTAGCAGCCTTATCAAGTCTGCCCTTTGAGTTTTTTGTTTCCTTTTTAATTAATTATTATTTTAAATTAATTATTATTTTTAATGTTTTATTTATTTTTAATTTTTGCCCGATGATGGACATATGTTTATTGCGAGCATGTTTTAACTCGGTTACTAGTGATTGACCAACTACCTCTGCTGGAAGTTGGTTTCAAGCTTCCACCACTCTTTCTATGAAGTAATTGTAATACTTTATGATATTACTTTTGAACTTTCCTCCTGTCTGAGATTCTGCCCCCATGTTCTTAATTTTGCCATGGTTGTTAAGCGAATCACTATAGTTGAGTGAATCATGCATTTGTGAAGTGATGCATTTTTTTTGTACACCTGAACCATTGCATCCAAATGTGCAGCAATTCCCAAAAGATAACAGATGTTACTGACCTCTGGTCCAAATATGTAATTTTCTCCTAATCTTTATCCTTTTCTATAATATGACAGAAATAGTTTCCAGATGAAGCTTTTATTATTCAATTGCCTCTAATTCAAAGTTTTACAGGGATTCTTAAGAATGTTTTCTACTTGAACCCTCCTTTTATTCACCCAATTTCTTTCTTTTCTAATTATAGAAAATATGTTAAGCAAAGACAGAATAGCCATCCAGTATCTTTTGACTGGTAGAGCTAGGAGCTGTGTTGAAGTCACCCCTCTGAAGTCACCCAGAATTCTTTACAACAATGCATTACATAGACTCCTTCTTTCTGCTGCATTTGCTGTCTTTTAATGATTTCATTTTAGAGTAATAACACAAATCAGAAGTTGATACTTTAAAAATGAAGATTCATGTGTGCAACATTTTTAATTTTCTAAAAGACTCCATTTCAATGTTTACTGATGGGGGAGGCAAAAATCATTTTAAAACTACCACTTTCCTGTAGCCTGTTCTGGAGGGAGAATTGAGATGGCTTTTAAACAATAATGAAGAATGAATTAGTGTGATTATATGTGCAAAGCTTGAAATCAGTGGAAGGATGGCTATCCCGAAGCCTCATGTTGCCTGATTTGTATGGTATGATTCACCTGCTTGGGGTGAAAGAATATAAGCATGGCTTGATATTTTAGATTATATATTTACTTTATTTTCCACTTTCAACAACTGCATTTATCTTTTATAGGTGCAAAGTGAAGATAGCATCCTTCTTTTTGTGGTCGCCTGGACGATCACAGAGATCGTCCGTTACTCTTTCTACACATTTAGTTTACTAAACCACCTTCCTTATTTTATCAAGTGGGCCAGGTAAGGTGATTAAATACTTAAATAATTATCAGTTTTAGAAGCAGTAGCTCAATGAAGCAGAAGAGAAACAAACAGAGACTAGGCACTTTATGTGAGCCGAGGTGGCGCAGTGGTTAGAGTACAGTACTGCAGCTACTTCAGCTGACTGCTAGTTCAGCAGATCAGCAGATCAAATCTCACCGGCTCAAGGTTGACTCAGCCTTCCATCCTTCCGAGGTGGGTAAAATGAGGACCCAGATTGTTGGGGGCAATATGCTAATGCTAATGCAATATGCTATATGCTAACTTTGTAAACCACTTAGAGAGTGCTGTAAAGCACTATGAAGCGGTATAGAAGTCATAATAATAATAATATGATGATGATGATGATGATGTAAGGAAAGAGTTTAATGAAAAGCATTTGGATTTGAAGCATCTATTTTGAGCATGGAAATACTGTTTCAGATGTGAAATGTTTGAATTATCTAAATATTTTATAATGTAATGTTTCAAGCTCAGAAGCAGAGCATCTTCTGTAGGTGATCCTCAGACTGCAACCACTTACTCAACAACCATTTAAACTTGCCACAGTGCTGAACAAGGACTTGCAACCAGTTCTTGGAGTCCTGGCCATTATAGCATCCCCATGCTCACATGATTATGATTTGGGCACTCAGTACCTGGTTTGTGATTACAAAATTGCAGTGAGCCACAGTAATGTGATCGTGATTTCTGACATTCCCTGCTAGTTTTCTACAAGTAAAGTCAGTGGGAAAGCCAGCAGGAAATCAGAAGACTAGGTCACATGAGGCCCTCCCTTAACAATGGCAACCAGGATGGCCAAAAATACGGTTGCTGAGTAACATGGTCATGTGTTGTTGCACTTTATAATCATGTCACTTAGCAAGATAGGTCCCAATTGCCATAATAACTTGAGGACTACCTCTATTCAAAACAGGTCCGGTCCAGTTTGAAACATTTCCAAAAAGATTGAAACAGCCCATTTAGCATTTCAAATAAGGAGTTTTGAAGTTGAAATGGTTTGCATCTAAAGCCTTTTGCATAGGGAATGTGTTGACTGCCTTAGAATTGCTCTGACTTTGAAGATCATTAAGAACATCTGGGCGCTGTATGACTTGGAGAAGTTGCGTTTTGATTGGGTTGCAAAAGACCCTTTGCTCCCCTTTCAGTTTCTTACAATTAATTATAAAATAGGAGAAGGGAGATTAGGAGTGTTACTGTTTTTTTGTGCTTGAAAGGAAGAAAGTCAATAAAATTAGATCCATTTTGCTTAATAGGCATGTGCATGAATGCTTAGAGGGAGAAGAGAAGTTGTATTTGGTTATAGGAATCAATTGCTTCCTAATTTAGATGATACCTGTGCATGGAGGGGGTATTATTTTCTTTCTTTCGTATATTCAGAGAACTAGTTGATGAACAATTGCATTTTTGTTTTGTAGTAACAATTAGTATAGCACATAAGCATATAGCCAGTTAGTGTGCTGTAGTTTATAAGCTGTTTCTATTTAAAAGTATTCCTTACTTATTTGCAGAAGAGTTAACTGTCTCAAGGGCCACCAGTTTTTCTTTTCTATATACTGGACTCCTTTTCCTTTCATTTATTTTTAACCTGTCAAATGGCTCTTTAATTTGTCTTCATACTTCTCTCTCTCCCCCTTTTCTTTGTTTGTCCCCTCTTTCAACTGTCTTGCTATTTTTGATTAAGGAAATGTTCAGGAAATCCTTTGCAGAATCCTACTGAAGCAACAATCTATTCTTATGAAGCAATTCTGTTTTTGTGTCTAGAGGTTCTCAGTGTTTTTAATGAAACTTTATCCAAGTAAATGTGTATTGGATTATACCGTGAGTTCCTAGAAATGAGAAATTCGCAGTTTATTAAATTTAACTTTGAATATTTTATCCTCAAACAAGGTATAACTAATCAGTTATAAGAAATTTTATATTAATTTGGTTATGAAATGTGGGTATCTTTAAATCATTGAAATTTCAATAAGTATATCTAGAATTGCCTCTCTGGCTTTTATCTCTATGTGAATATTTGTTTTGGTTTTGTAGGTATACTTTATTCATCATACTATATCCAATGGGAGTTACTGGAGAAATGCTCACAATGTATGCTGCTCTGCCCTTTGTCAAGCGATCTGCTTTATTTTCTATTAGTTTACCTAACAAATATAATTTTTCATTTGACTACTACACATTCCTGATCCTGGTTATGCTAGCTTACATTCCAAGTAAGTGCAAACTCAGTTCATATTTTCTTGCCTCATATGTATCTAAAACAATTTGAAAATATTTGTGATCTTTTGCAGTTAAAGACTTTGTGTGTTGGTATTCTTGGAATAATCTTGCAAAAAACCTGGCGGGATAATTTTCAGACCTGACTTCCAGGAGTTGTCCCATAACTGAATTTTGTGTGGAAAATACACCCCAGTCATCTATTAAGGTTCTCTGGCTGAAAATCAACTAGTAATCCACAACCTAGTTCTGCCCCTTAACCATTACACCAACCTGTATGGGTATGTTTAAGATTACCACAGTGAACGTAAATGTACAGTTCCTGTATCTATGAAGGTTTTTTTTTGCAACAGTTGTTATGATGATCATCTGCTAAAGCTCAGAACTGTCAGCCCTGCATGGAAAATCTACACATCTGTTAAATATACAAAACTCTTCACTAAACCTCTCTTTCCTGCATTTTGTTCTGGCAACTTTCCACATTAGCTGGGATACACAGATTTTACATTGGGCTCTTCCTCACAGCCCCATTTATGTTTTTCCCGTCCATCATTGAAAAGCCGGGAAAGCATCTCATTTTCAAAACTGATGCCCCCCACAGCATTATTTTTACCTCATGCCTCAAGGGTGAGTAAGGCAGTGCTGTCCAGCAGGAGTTTTTTATTACCTATTTCTGGATGACATCAAGAATATCTCCCTCCCTCCTTCCCTCATGGCCTTCCTGGCATGATAGAATAAATATCAAATAAAAATGCTTTTAAAAGGCTCTGACAATCCCAGCTGAGCCACACGATCATCAGAGGCTTTTTTTTTTACTTTTAAAAGCATTTTTTCTACAAATGCTTTTAAAAGTTTTAAAAAAAAGCCTCTGATGATCGTGTGGCTCAGCTGGGATCGTCAGAGCCTTTTAAAAGCATTTTTTCTACAACCTCTTCGGCCGAAGAGGTTGTAGAAAAAATGCGTGTAAAAGTAAAAAAAAAAAAAGTTGGCCACGCCGATCCAGTCACATTACCACCCCCACCCCACACACACACACACCAAGCCATGCCCACAGAACCGGTAGTAACAAATCTTACATTTCACCACTGCTTTAAAGGTAGTAACCGTTTGAATTGCACCTAGGGACAGATCAATAGCTGGTGCAGCTCACTTAAGAGTAGCGTAACATGTGTCACCCTAGAATCCTCCAAAACTGTCTGCACTACTGTATTTTGAATGAATTGTAGCTTCCAAATGCTCCTCAAGGATAGCCCCACGTTCTTGTTCCTAGCCAAACATCACTTTTCTGCGGGATCACTCGATTCCGCTTCATTCTTCTTCAGAAGCAGCTGGCAGCAAGGTGGGACCTGCTCTATGAAGATGTGCCCTTAGTAAACAGTAAGCAGTCCATCTCAGAATCAGGGTCAGGTGGACGAGCCCATTGTCATCTGTTTTCCTAGCACTAGAAAATAGTAATCGGTGCACTGATTGAACAACAAAACTTGCAAATTTCATTTTGCTACTACTAGAAGATACCATCTCTGAAAATTTTTCCAAGGCACCCCCCCAGGAGTCAGAACTTGTCTCAAAGGCATAAAAGAAGAAGATACGATATTAGACAGCCAGCATTTTTATTCTATTGTGCTGTAATTGAAGCATAAATCTTATCAAAGCAGGGCTTTTTCATGGGAAGAACCAGAAACTATTTGAACAAAAACTTTCAGCAGCTGTTACATCAAGAATGAGATAATTGTTCTGTGAGATACTGATTTGTTTGAAAGAAGGTCAGATTTACAGTGGCCAAAGAAAAGTGAATAGTAGAAAGAAAAGAAAGTAGAGGAAAGAAGGACAATTTAACTTCTGAATGTTGAAGCTAGTAGCTATCATTTTCTTTTTGCTTTGACTTGTTTTATTAATTAAAGAACTTCTGCAGGGTATACTAGGACTAAGTATTGCTTGTACTTTAAGCATATAGTGTGCCATAGAGGAAAAAAATACAGTAAATTGACTATTGAAATGAAAGGTGTCCAAAGAAAAACTGTCTAGCCAATTAGTATTTCCTGAGTAGTGTTTTACCCTGATATATTGAAAGAATGCATGCTTTGAGATACCAATATCTTTTTGTGAGTCTTTGAATATAGGAAACTAATCAAAATGTGCACAGAGAAAACTCCTGACTTTTAATTACCCAATTCTGTTGTTTTTCAGGCTTCCCTCAGCTGTATTTTCACATGTTACATCAGAGAAGAAAAGTACTTTCTGTTACTGAAGAACACAAGAAATGTGAATAATTCCAACTTCTATTTAGAGTTGTGCCCAAATATGTGTGCAAACAGGAACCTACCCAAATATGAACACTCAATCCAAGTTATAAATAATACAGAATAGTAGTATTTTGAGAAACTCAAAATAAATACTTGATCAACTGCTCAAATATTATTAAAGTTATCAACAGTAGTAATTTTGGGTAAAATCATTACCCTATGAAATTGCATTTTCAGCATGTCTTATTATAGTAGAACCTGTTTTTATTTTTTTAAGTGACTCTATAATCTGTTGATTAAAAACTACCATTACATACTTGATAATTAAAATCATAGATAAGTAAACTTGGATTAGGATTAGAATTATTTCAAACTTTGCATGTCTGACATTGCACCGTAACTTATCTGGAATGCTTTTAAACACTTGCCTAAACTGCCATCAGCTTCCTAAAGATTGCTGATCCTGATCTTAGAGAAGATCATATTCATATCCAACAAGCCTAAACAAAGAGACAGTGTTACCATGATAATAGCTGTAACCAGTTGCATAATCTGCACAACTGATTTTTTTTATGTAGTTGGGCCTTAAAATACTGCATTGTTGCACAAGAGTGAATGAGTGTTTTAAACATGCAACGTAATCTTAATACCTCAAATTTGGATGTTCTCTTGCTATTCTTGAATGCTTCTCTCCACCAAAACCCTATTTTATTGAAATGCACACATCATAGCTAATTTGTTTTTATAATCTGTATTTAATTGTTGAAGTACAAAGAGAATAAATACAAAGAAAATATACAAAGATAGGAAAACAATAAAAAAGACTGCTACATTAAAAAAAAACGGTGAAAAAAAGAAAAAGTAAATTACTTTTTAGTGATACATTTTCCTCCTTTCTTCCCTTTGTATTCCTAACTACTACACTAGTAGCTTTAAGTAATCCGTGATTGATATTGACAAAAAAACACTTTTGATACAGCTTTAAAATTGCTGTTCAAATTCATCCAGTTGCAATCTGTTAAGAAAATGTTGATACTTTTAGAAAAATAAGCATTTAGAGAAATTGAAGATACTTTTCTTAAAATCTGTTCATGTAAAATTCAAAACATTTTAAGGCTCCATTAATTTTGGGATTCAAGCTATTGCATGAAAGTTTAATGTGTTTCAAAGCTAACTCATTTGGAAAATTGACGTTTTATATGGAAAATTATTGAATCTTTGAATACTTTTTATTAAATAACTGCTTTGATAGTCTTGAAGAAAACACAAATTGTCATTTATATTTTTAATTAGACGCCATCATGGTAAGGGGATAAGTTTTATTATTGCTAAAAATGATGCTGGTATTGCTCATTTTCCCTAGTACTAAATTTATGTACATTAACTTACAGTTTAGGAAGCATATCCTTCTTTACTCCATCGCAGTAACTTACTTTGTATCTCACTGTCACTTTTTACTTCGTTCTACCATGGGGGATGCCAGGAATGCCTTACAGAAATCTTTGGCATTCTTGTTGATCATTCTGTAAATATATGTAATTTTTTTTGTCCGTCCCATTATTTCCTCCAAGCCAGATACATAGTGCAACGTGTTAAAGAGTTTTCCTTAATGGTTTGTCTGTAACAATTTTGTATCAAGTAGTGGCTTGTATTAAATGGTTCATAGCCAAATTTATACAGCAAACATAAGCATACATTTGTGTGAATGTTGGAAGAAGAACAGCACTTAGCTCATTTCTCAGTTATCCATTCGGTGTGCTGATGAGACACCTTTCCTTTGGGAATATGGTGGCTTGTTGAGAGCAAGTTGTGCCATCTGAATCATTCTAAGCCTGCAGCAACAATCATTCTATTCCTTCCCTTTGCATGTTACCATCTTAGCACATCAGTTCTACACTGAAAAGGGTACCATTGTCATCCCCATGTCTGGCAGGATCATTAAAATATAGCATGTGTTTTCTTGGAATTTTTGATAGCTGGCCATTAACAAAGCAGCCGCATCCACTGATTCAGGGGATTGAATTACAAATTCAGCACACTTAGCGGTTTTATATTTATAACTGGAAAAAAAGATTCTACCAGCCTCTGGTTCAGTTTTATCTTTGTGATTGTGCATAAACTCAGGTTATTTTACGAAAACCATGGCTTCTGTTTAGAATGGTATATTCTTGCCAACTTGGACATAAGACAATTCAATAAAATTTGAGTCCATCTAAATCATGAAAATGCTTTTCTCTGTTAGCCCACTTTATAAGGGCTTTAGGAACCTAGCAAATATTGCATAACCTCTCCTTTCAGCTCATCATACAATCTATTTAGCAGGAAAAAAAGGACATGGAATACTGTTAGCTGTAGCTGCTGGTCAAATACTTCCCATGGCATAAATAACTCTAAATCCCCGTTGCTGTTCTTAAGGCTGCTTTGCATGATATGGGGCAGCAGTTGTGGGATACAGGTGTATGTAGTGTTTTAGGTTTGATTTGGGAAAAATCTCAGCACACCAGAATGCAGACTGTACAACTCTGCAGCTCATGAAAATAGTTACATCTGCCCTTGAATTGCATTGCTGCTGCTTGATGGATTTCTGCATCAGACCGAGATTGGACTAAATAATCTCCAGGATTATCTTTCCAATCCTTACACTCTGGGAGTTTGGAAATTGACATAGCTGTTGAACTACAGAGAAGCACCGCGCATCAATGTTTCCACATATTCCATAGTTCTTCCAAGTTGGATCCAAGACAACAGGTCAATGTTTTATTTCTGATGGGTTAGTTCTGTCCCCTAAACAGATTTACCTACTTTTATATGGCAGCACACACATTGTATTGATGTGATTGATTTTATTTCATCCTTAACAGTCCTTTCTTTAAGCTGCTATGCTGCTGCTATTCCTACTGTCATATCTTCGCTTGCATAGGCTCAATAAGGATATTTTGTAAGCGGCTTGAAAATTGCCCTGGTAGTTTAAAGCAGAGAATGGTAATTTCTTTATTGTTGAGAGCTATTCTGTATTTGTTTGCTTTGCAACTAAGAGCCATAAGGGAGATGACTTATACAGTGAATAATGCCACTGAACAAAGGACAGGATTTTACTGATTTCTCTTCCATTTTGGTGGAATAGGAATCCTTTTAAATAAAAGATGGGCACATGTAGTTTGTTTTAGGGTATTTTGGATTCTGAAAACCACAATGGAGGTTGGCTGTGAGCTGTCCACCCTGTAATAAAAAGGAAAATAAACACTTTTGGTTCTAGAATTTAATAAGATTATATTTTTTGTAGCAGTTGGGTGAAACATAACCCAAATTCAATTGTTCACTTTTCCAGTCCAAATTTATTATTTCTGAAGCTCTTGATGGAGAAAAGAAACATATCCATCGTTGGGAAACAAAACCAGTTCAGAAACATTTTAATGCCCGCCTTTTGAACTTCTAATAAATGTAGAACAAATTTTTGAAATGGTGAAGAAGTAGCCATGTCTGACGTAAGGTTTCTGTAAAGTTTTTGCAGAGTCATGTTCGTCTAAAATAATTTTGGTCTAAGAATTGTGCCTGAAGCACTGGACTTCAAACTCTTAATTCTATTCGTTTTATGCACCTTTGAGTTTTTATACACCATCCCATCTGATTCTTACTAACATTCTTCAATATGCCTTCTATTGTGTATTCCCGGATGAAAAGACCAATCCTGAAGGTCATTTGATCCCAGCTACTGGTAAAAAACATGTTGACTATTAATGTATATGGAAAACTCTTTTAGAAGAGTAAAAGTCTGTTAATTACATGCTTTTTACCCACAGCCATTGTGAAAAGCAAATCCATTTTTGTGTAAAGTATTGCTTTTATGTTACCAGTTTAGACTAATGAGCCTCTATTTCAGAACTTTACCTAATCAATATAATCAGGGCATAAGGAACTATGTATCTGAATGATCCATATAGATTGTGCTTGCCCTTTAAATGTGACATCAAAGAGGCTCTTCTAGAACACCTGAATGGCATATTGTAATGGCCATAAAAATATGCCATTTGGAAGGTGACTGGCTTTGTAGTTTCCACAATATATTTATTTGTAAAATTTATTGCCACCCATTTTACCTCAAGGTAATTCTAGTAAGTACCTACCTTCATAAACAGCATTGATCTGGGCATAATTCTAAAACAAAAAAGATAGAAATTGTGTTTGTCTGCCTTAACCTAAAATTTGGAATTATTTTCAATGTCATTTTAATGTGAATTATATATTTTATATTCCTGCTCTGCATTATTTACTTCCACCTAACCAAACTTATTACCTTAGGGCACTGCTGTGGAAAGTTTCTTTTGGGAGAGAAAGATATCAAGCACTTAGTTAACTTACATTTAGATTCATTTTTCCTTCTGATAGACTACTGTTCAGGCTCTTCAGATGGATTTTACCATAAAGAGATGGACAGGAAAAAGGGAGAGGCATCTAACTTGTGATTAGAGGAAATTAGTCTACCCGTTGGGTCTGCTTAGAATGACTTTTTCACTACCAAAGCTTGGTAGAAGCCAGACTAGGACGTAGAAAAAAATAAAATCTCTTTAAGATTGGAGAATGGATTTCTAGGACCAGTTATTTAGAAGCTGACATTTGAAGTTCCTATACATTGGTTCCATGTGTTCCAGTAATTAATGAATAAATGCTAAATAAATTAGCTGTGATATTGTATAAATCTGAGTTGTTACTAAGGCTGTTCAAAAAGCAGCAAAGGAACCTTGTTTTATTATAAAACTTCCTGCTCAAGATTTCATCACATTTCCAAAATACGTTCCAAGCAGATACAGTATGTGCAATAGTATTAAATATGTGTGTAAGGAAACCACTCTCTGAAGGCAGCTGCTAGAATAGGAATGGTGTAGTAGAGTTGTTAACATTTACCGTGTATGCCAGTGGTTACAAATTGGGATACCATGACCCCCTAAATGAATTAGTGGAATTGATTATTTCAATTTTGTGTTAATACCCTGTTTCCCCGAAAATAAGACATCCCCTGATAATAAGTCCAATCAGGTTTTTGAGCGCATTCACTAAAATAAGCCTCCCCCGAAAATAAGCCCTCCCCAAAAATATTTAAATGCAGAGCTGGAAATCAGGTAAGACAGCAAGAGGAACCCCATCTTGCTCCATGCGCCCCAAAATAAGATCTCCCCGAAAATAAGGCCAAGCACTTATTTTGGGGTTCAAAAAATATAAGACAGGGTCTTATTTTCGGGGAAACACGGTAATACTCAAAAGTCTGAGTTAGACTTCCATATTTTATTTTATTTTTAAAAAGTGGGACTCCCTTCTAAGAAATTCCTGAACCTGCCAGGGGCCACAAACCATAGTTGAGATCCATGCTGTACTGTAGGTTATTTTGCTACTTGGAGTAACCTTCAAGCATTTTCCCCCTTGAAGCAGAAGAGTTACGGGTACCTATGTGGAGGGGGAAAGCATCTGGAGGAAGGAGATATTAATTTTTCTCTTGTATCAAAAAATATTTGCAGACCTTTGCATGAGTTCTGCATTTAACCTATAGCCAGCCCTTAAATCCATGCATTCTGTGCTGTACATTTAAACACTGCACTCCTTTTTAACTTGAAGTTTCTCATGCCACAGCAATGACAACTGCTAGGTTGTTGAAGAACATCACTAAGGAGGAAAATGTATTAAATTATGTACCATTGGTTTTCATTACAGACTTGCTATTAGGCCTGAACGACTTACTTAGTGAGCTAAGGCAAAAACAGCTTATCAGTGCCTTCAATACTATTTACTTAAGATACAACAATGCAGTAAACAAGACTTTTTCAATTAAATCTCCTCTGGAAGAATTGTGGTTGGACTGCTGAGTGCTGCTGTCCCAGAGTAGCTGGAGAAGGTTGAACTGCTCTGCTCTTGCTTAGTTGATCAATTAATGCAATATTAATTCTTAAGTCACATTAGTGCTGTGCATGGGCACTGTGCTCATTAATGTAAATGGCAACCAAGGCTCTATGCACATAATACTTTGTGGAGGGTTAGGCACATTGTATTTGTGAAGGAAGAGTTAATTAGGTTAATTGTCTATATGATGCATGCTTCCTTGAAGGAAAAAAAATCGGTGGTGATTACCAGACCCAAATATACGCATATAACTGCACGCAAGGTTAATGTATCCCAAATGAGAATTTATTGAGTGTTAAGTATTCTTATCTAATACCTTTGTACTGTTTCCATTTACCAGATGGCTGTTAAAATGACTTGATTTCAAGACAAATTTGCCTTACTTTTCAATTCTTGTAGAGACAATCTTTAAAATCTGGATTAAGCTGCAGTGTTGCTTTATTAAAATACATTTTACTTTGACCATATCGCAAATTCAATATTAGTTTCTCAATCATCAGAAATTAAGTTTGTTTGATTTGTACTTTTTGAAATTGTTGAATTTTGTCTTTTGAAGTGTACTTTAGTGAATTATTTATGGGATTCTGTTAGGAGGATTTTCCTCCTGTAGTATAGTCTGGGATATTCTTCATATATTTATTAATTTTTCTTCTGCATGTATATTAAGGCTGCAGCAGAAGCCATGTGCTTATGTTGGGATAATTTTTGTGATGTATATAATAATAGTATAAATAGGATATCTAGTTTGTATCTTTCACTGCACTTACTGATGGTGATTTCATCTCTATTGATTATGATAAATAATCATAATGATTTCATTTAATTTGGTAGGAAAGATTTGAAGCATGTATATGGTAGGCCAGTTTATAAAATTGTTATGCTTCAAGTAACATGTTTATTATTGATATACAATTGGATTTTTAATCCATATTCCTGTAATAGAATTTGATAGAAATGGTAGTCTTTTGTAATTTTTTAATGTTGTGAACAATACAATTGTAATTTTATAATAAATACTTTACAATGCAAATGTTTTCAAATATTTCTGAAATTTGATATTAACTAAGGCTTTGAGAGACAATGTATGTGCATTTGAAAGACATTTTTTTGTACTTGCTGTGTAGTGAAATGGTTGGGTGAGTACATTTTTCCCTCAGTACTGCAGTATTGAAGTAATGATGCCTACTTGAATTTGGAATAGTAACCAGTATTACTGAAGCAGGATAATCCAAATAAAATGCTCCTGGGACATTAACCTAGGACAAATACATTAACTTAAGCATACTAATTTGTATGGATGATTTCTTCTACACAATTACATTGTTGTCTTTTCCTTCTTCTCTTGAGCAGATACTGAATATAATTTACTGTTATTTGCATATGTGGAACCAATTTTCTACTTAAGATCATCCTTGAACCTGAGATGGTTTTTCTATGAATGTTTTCAGATACTTATTTGCAAAGTTAAATATAGAATTGTAATGAATCCATCAAATATGTAGTCTGTGCATTGTTGTTACTGCTACTCAGTTAAACATCTCTGGCTTCTGCATCTACTTTGCATTTAAAAGAGGTAGGGGCTTTATTCTATGAATGTGTAGTCAAAGTATAATTTGACCCTTGCCTGCTCTCCTCAAAGGAGTATTTTCAGAAATACTTCTGAGACCCCTTATTACCTAGAATAGCTGGCTGTAGTTGCCTATTATTTAGCATTGGCTGAGTCACTAGATTCCTGGCCTTGTATGAAGGGGTTTAGTCACTTTTGTACAGCTTTCACATTTGGAGGTCTATAGTAATCCAACCTGTATGGAAACTCCCCACCCCCACCCCAACCCCCAAAAAGCTTTATATGAAAGTTACAGCTAGTACAAAGTACAGGCACATATACATTGGACACATCTACCCTTTCAAACTAAAATACTGCCAATTAGCTTCAGAGGTGAATTCAGGATACTGTCTTGTTTACATAGCTTTTCAGGATAGTAAAATAAAATTTGTTTTGAATGGACGAGAGCCATAAACTAAAGGTTAATACAGCAGAGTAGAAAGTGGGAGATCATGAGTTTAAGTCCCATCTTAGCCATGAAAGTCAGCTGGGTGACTCTGGGACAGCCACTTTCCCTCAGCCCAGCCCATCTCACATGTGTTGTGGAGAAAACAGGAGGTGGAAGGTGTGTTGGATATCTTTGCCACCTTGAGTTATTTGTAAAAATAATAAAGGCATACAAATTAAAATTAAAGAATAAAATTTTAGACTTAAGCATATGCTATCATGGAGAAGCCCAAAAATGCATGGAACCGCTTCATTTGGGGGGACAGAATAGGATAGAAATCATTTATCTACCAAGTTCAGATGGTTAAATGCAGTTTTACTGTAAGGGATGCTGTTAAGGCAGAACTCATAGTGATGAGAAAAGGAAGCGCAGAAGCCTCCAAATTGTCCAGCAAAGAGTTGACTGAAAAGCTGTATCTGCATAGAGAACCAATGTACAAAATATTCAGTTCTGGCTTTGACTACTAGGGAATATTTTAAAAGCAGGCTGTCATAACAAAGGGAAAAAAAGTCCATCACTTTCTGATAATTTGTTTTTCTTTGACAACAATCTTGTTCGCATGGATCAATGTAATAAGCATTACACATCAATATCCAAGCATTAGCAAAGAGTCAAGTTTATAATGCTAAGACTTCTGCTGAAACCTATGTCAATTTAGCAACCTGTCATCTTATAGTTGATGGACTCCATGGGCATTCTCCATCTTAATAATACATTCAATTAGAAAGGCTACTAATAGATCAGTACAGGAGTCCATATAACAGGCAGAGTGCCATTGTGCCTAATTCCTTGATTTCACATAAATCCAACCCTTTCTATTTATGTGTGGTGCTGAATTAAGGAGAAGGAGTGTAGCCAGAAAAAGGATAAGCTTTTCAAGACAACAAATCAGTATTTCACAGGTATAAAGATACTGTTCTTGACCCCATTCCATTAAAATGCAGGGGTTTGTGAATAGGATTATGGGCAAGGTCACTAGGGTAATGTCTGGGAATTATGTGCTATGACTGCTACGTGTTGATAGGAAAACAAAAGTTTTTGTTATGAGATGTGTTTTAAACCTACCGATATGGTGATACAGTGCCTTGGATTTGAAAGGGAAAACTTGCTTCAGAAATATAGGGGTCCTCATACTCTGCCTTTCAGAAATTTCTTAAAAATAGTTACATCTTTTCCCAAGATTGCCTTAATATATAATGCACTGTAACACAGAGTCCTGTATTAAACTTAATAACCAAACAGTAATCATACTACCTCAGACTTATCCATAGAAGGAAGTTTCAGTGAAGATTCAGTCACTCAGTACAAGATGAGACAGATTTAAATTGCTCCAAAGAAAACAGAAGATTTATTTTTGTTCAAATTTTAGGGGAGTAGAAGAATGAAGAGAGGACTGAACAAGACGACAAAGTGATGGCAGACTGGGTACAGAAACAAAGTGGGGCAAATTGAGGCATAAGAAAGGATTGAGGTCAAAAGGTTATGGTAAAGATAAAATGGAAAGGATTTGCAGAGCGTAGATGATCTCGGAAGAAAAAGCAAAATAGATGTCTATTTTCAAAAAGCTCCAGAATGGATTTGAGACTGCCTTCCTAGGGAACCTGCTTAATTGAATTCTAACAGATAGCAGAGCAGCACTCTTGACAACCATTCTGATAGGTGGTTGGTTTGCAGAGGTCAAAAAAACTCATTGGTCAGCAACTGCTGTCAATATCAGATACCGTACCTATCTCATTGCTTCGTTCAAATTCCATCCTACTCAGCTATGTCCATACATGGAAAGAAAGTAGCAATTGTGTTTTGAGATGCCATAAATCCCAGAAAATTTTCTCAAATCTCTCAATTGCCATCAAAGTAATTCAAAGGCATCTGATTCTGCCCATGAATAGGTTAAAATACTTCATTCTCAATAATAACTTAGTGAGATGCCTTTGTCTGGAATTAAAGCACCAGGTTGGTCAAGTTCTGCATTAGCCATGAAAGCCAGCTGGGCGACCTTGGGCCAGTCATCTCTTTCAGCTCAACCCATCTCACAGTGTTATTATGGGGAAAACAGGAGGAGGAAGGTGGACCACAACAGAAGGTGTGTTGGTTATGTTTGCCACCTTGAGTTGTTTTTAAAAAATAATAAAAGTGGGGTATAAGCAAATAAATAAATATGCTTTTGTTAGCCTACCAGAATTCCAAATCCTGTGGGAAAAGGTTTAAAGTGATGTTTGCTAAATAGAGTGTGATATTTGGACAGAAATACCTTCCAACACAACTAAGAGCCGTAAGGGAGTTGACTTCTTTTAGCCCACAAAGCTTTTAATAATTCCATTTCTAGGACCAGTTGAAAATTATGGTATTCACCTATCAATAGGAATAATTATCCGTATCAAGTGTCTGTATGTTGAAGTCACTTTTGAAGGCTCTTTTCAAGTATTCAGTCAATTCAAGCTGCATGAAGAATGGAGAAAGAGCTTTCTCTGTTCACCACTTTGCTTATGGAACACTGATCTTGAAGATACTCCATTGAGGTCAGTTTTGATTATTTGGTTCATATACTGCACACAATTATTATACCCAAATATAATTGAATTAGCTTCTAAATAGATTTCTGCACATGCCTGAACAAAGCTTTTCAATTCTATTTGCTTGGGATTATTGCTCAATTGCAGAATTTTGATTATTGGCTTAAAATTTATAAGATCAATTATCAAATCTTTGCAATTAAAAAAATTTGGAAGCAGATGTTTTGAGATGAACACCTATATTGGCAAAGATATTTTCTTGCAACGAGTATGTGAGAAATAGATGATAATGCTTCTCATTGCCAGTTCTTATAGGTAGTTGTAATAACAATGAGAATATGAATGGTAAAATATGTATTTTAAAACTGACAGCTTGTGTGTTTGAGATGTCATAATCAGTTTTTAAACAGACAACTCTAAAATAAAGGAAATATACCTAAAAAGAAAAAATGATAGTGACAATGTTTACTAAATTTCAGATAAAATATAACCAAACAAACAAACAAACACCATGAGTATGTGAAGCACAAAGTATTTCTGAAACAGAAACTACTGTGATTACTGTAGGATATCATACGAAGCAATGTCTAAAAATGCTGGTGTTTGCATAATGAACTGTTTTTTAAAATGTATAGACTACATTTCTAAAATCCTAGTTTTCAATGAACGGTGTATTGTTCAGTTTTGCCTTTTCATATTTATGGCAGATGCTTGACCACCTTCCACTTAAATATAACTAGCCAAAAAAAGCTCACCATTTAACGAGGTAATGAGTTTCATTGAGGAATGTGACATTGTTAAGGTAATTTATCTAACATTGGCACCAAATGCTCTGTCCTGTTTAGTGGACTAATGGGATGAAAAAGAATTACTGTCCTTGCTTTCCCCAATTTGATCCAGCATCTATCTACATTGGACTGGATCTTCCATTCTCTCTACACAGCATGGTCAGTTTGGAAACTGCAATTGAAAACTCTTGGAAGGCAACTTCTGAAGCTGGAAATGGCTGGGCTAACTCCTTACCCCTTACAGTTCTTTCTCATTAACATTTTATGTAGTGAATAATTTCACATAAAATATACCAGAGGATGTTCAAAATATTCAGAAATCATCCAGTTCAGATGAAGCTGTCTTTAAATAAAATCACAGATTCAAAATGCATACAGAATGTACAAATACATACAGCCTGTTTAGGTTGGCTCACTCGATATGGAACATTTATCAAAAAGCCAACACAGAGACTTGGATAATGGCAGTTTCACTGCTTGTGACCTGATTTGTAGAGGTTAGTGATCGCAGTTGCAGCTGACAACAAAGAAACCCCACAAGCTCACCAGAAGCAGGGCAGAAAGTAGGTCAATTCCTCAGCCCAGGAAACAGCAGCTGTTCCCCAACAGTATGCTCTGGGACATTTATCACATTTATTCAGCCATAAATGGTCTGTTTGGTTATGGTTTGAAGCAATGTTCCCCAATAGAAGTAATTTCCAGATATGTGGACTTCAAATCCCAGAATTCTCAGGAACGGTCTTTTCTGGCTGGGGAACTCTGGGAGTTGAAGTCCACACATCTGGAGTTACCCATTAGGAACACTGGTTTAGAGCAATGTATGTATCAGCTGTAGTAATTTATTTGTACTGTAAGTACAACAGCCCAAGTAATCTCCTTTAAAAAAAAATGTCTACAGTTTTAATGAGAATGTCAAAATCTAGA